TGTCACCGGTTTTCGATCAATGTTTTCGGTTTCTGGCCCTTCCGCATCTCTTCCGCCTCCCTTCCGCGTCTCTTCTGCGCACACAGTGGAAGCTCATGCCATGTAAGGCTTGAAATTCGGAATACTAAACCGAATACGTGGATTTTAGCGCGACGCCAATATATAGAGACGGATGGATGGATGGATGGATGGATGGATGGATGGATGGATGGATGGATGGATGGATGGATGGATGGATGGATGGATGGATGGATGGATGGATGGATGGATGCATGCATGGATGGATGGATGGATGGATGGATGGATGGATGGATGCATGGATAGATAGTTGGTTAGATAGATAGATGGATGGATGGATGAATGGATAGATGGATAGAGACAAAACGGATGAATATATATATATATATACATAGTCAATTGATGGGTAGATAGCTAGATACACGAAAACAGAGAACTAAAGAAGGACATAGATAAATAACAAACGAAGGAAGACAGACAGACAGACAGACAGGCAGGCAGGCAGGCAGGCAGGCAGGCAGGCAGGCAGAAAAGACAGAAAGAAAGAAACAAAGAAAGACGAAAGAAATAAAGAAAGAAAGAAAGAAAGAAAGAAAGAAAGAAAGAAAGAGCGAGGTAAATAAAGAAAGAGAGAGAAACATAATGAAATAAATAAAGAAAGAAAGAAATAAATAAATACAGGTACAAAACAAAAGAAAGAACGACATAATGAACAGAAATAAAATAACAACAACACAGAAGCAAATAAACAGCAAATAAAAGTGGACACATATCAAGAACAGCGCGAACAAAAACAAGAAACACATAACGATGATTACAACGATAGCTCTTATAACTTGAAAAAGTCTGCCCACCGCCTTCGCCGGATTTGCTGGTAGAAATACTGATTACAATGTGCTGGTTGAATCCTACGTATGACTACTCAAACAGGGTCACACTATCGCTTTCTTCACAATAAGCATGACACTATGTCAATGAGAGGAGCCTCATGAGAGCATTGCAGATTGATCACCATGCCAGTGAGTCTCAAACTTGGCAAAAGCCATCACTCTTGGCATGGAGGGGGAGAGCGGGCATAACAAAAAATATTGTGTACTCCTTTCGTGGTTCTCTTTGGGAGAAATGACGCGGCTGACTTAGCACCCAGTCAACCAGTGGTTTTATTCAAGGTTCTCATTGAACGTCTGTCCCCTGGGCAGCAGGCGTCCTTGGCATGTCGCCGGCATCCCTCGACAGCCTGGGAAAAGCACGTGACTTCGGCTTGCAGTCACTGAGCAATCTGGTGTGCTGTGGCTTCACCAAAACAGTACTGCCTCTCTTTGAAACTTCTGCCAGTCTTGCTGTGCTGCCTTGCGGGGGGGGGAGGGGGTGCCTAAACTTTGAAACGGGCTTGGACGTGTCTGGTCACCACTCTGGATCTTGACAGCGAAAAGCAGCCGTCACTCGACATTTCCTCTGATCCGTTTTACATCATATGACATTGAGCCTTGTCAAAGAAGTAAACCATGTTGTTTGCACTTTTACTCGCACATGCACACACGGATACAAGCGGGCACACAGTTGTTGGCAAGCGAGACTCATCCTTACCCCTTAAAACTCCAAGCCCTGGGGAAGTTAATCTTTTACAGACATATACCCCAGGTTACCCAAAAAGTTGAAAAGTTGTGTTTTTAAGAGGTAAGCATCCTATCAGGCACAGTTTCACATGGTCACGAGTTTCAGTAGACTTACATCGAACTATATCCATGCGGCCAGCCACGTGAAGCGAGTTGTGGCAACGGTAGGCAGCTTGCAAGACTATGTCATGTCTAAACAAGGGAAACAAACTATACTTCCTGAATGGGTTGCTGGTTCTGACACAGTCACATGTCTAGTGAATTTAGCCGGCTTTCCCGGCTGAAAGCTCGTCTGCGCCGTTTTAGTCAGCTTCTATCTTGTTAAACCAGAACTTAAAACTTGCCGAAAGCAACTCTGGAGACTCTGGATTAGATTACAATGTTAGACTTCCTTCAACAGGCAATGATGACTCAATGATGACTGGCGTGCTGTTGTTCCGCGCCGTGCCTTCTGCACCTCCAGCAAATCCCAAGGTTGCCCTTGTGCTTTCCTTTTAGAAACTAGGCAGGCACGCCTGTGAAAGAGCAAACCTACACGTTTAGGTGGGGGGGGGGGGGGGGCAACATGTTTGAAGCACGCTGGTCGCAAAATGAACACCCTGTCAAGATGTGGGCGTGCTATGTTTGAAGGACACCCTTTTTCAGGTTGGTTGCCACCATTTTTGGGGTCCTCATATTTTTACGCATGCCCAAGTTTCTCCAGTTGCTCGACCTGACTGAGCAGCCCGCGAAAGACAAGAGCAGCGAAGATGAGATGAACCGCCTCCCATGGACCTTGGATCGAAGCCTCTAACGTTCCCGGCCGTGAGAAGGGTGCGCTGAGCGCTTGGCAAGGATTAGTTTTCAAATGGGCCTTCAATAGTTGGCTTTCTTCTGGCCCTTGAGACCCAAAAAGGGTACCCTCAAAAAACAGGAAATACATTTATGGCCATCTGACTCGCAGGATTGCGGGTGTGCCGCAGTCGGCTCCGAATCCACAGCGCCTGCAGAGATTGCCCATGGGGTTCCGGCGGTGTGGCACAGGTTCAGATCGGCCTCGAGTGGAGCCTGCAAGGCGAATTCGGCATGGCTGTTGATGAGTGGCGGCGGAATAAGGGAGTCAACCAATAAACAGTTGAAATTGGAAAATCCAGCGGAGAACTAGCTAAAAGGACACAGGTCGAATCACTCTGGGCACCTCAGAATACCAAAAGGCAAAGGCAAAACCACCAGAGCTCATTCTCAAATTCATGCTGGAGGTAAAACCACCCCCCCCCCCCCGTAAACGCCGGCATTTTTTGAAGAGCTTTCTGCGCCTGTAGGGGTCCCCGATCTTGTGCTGGCCGGCCGCGTGGCGTTGGGAGGGTCCTGTCACAGGCGGTGCCCGCCTCGAAAATGAAATCCTGACCGCTGCGCCGGTGAAGGCGGAGAAGGCGGGGAACCTGAGAATTGCGGACGGAGCGTCTCTGGAAAGGGGTCCCCTGGAAATTATCTTCTACAGATGCACTCCAGGGGTCAAAAGGGGGGTCAAACGACCCATAGGGTTGATTTGGGAGGGCTCTTCCGGACCTCTTGGGTACCAAGAAAAGATCCAGAATCAAAGCCATTGGGTAACCCCGGCAAAACAAAAACTAGACAGTAATTACAGCGCAAACGCCAAAAGGGAAGAAGGATGACAAACTGAGCAACTGGCAACAACTGAGACAGGTTGTCACCGACTCCTTGTTTTGGATTTGGCCCTTTCCAGAATAATTTGCAAAGGGAGCTGGGAACATGCAATATCACATGGGGAGGTGCAGCGATGGTTGAGCACTGGGTCACTGGTGCCTGAAAATGAGAGGTACAACAAACACGCACTTTGCTATGCCTAAAGCGTGAATCCATGACGTTGTAGCCCCTTCAACTCGCAGGTCCCGACTTGTTCAAGTCGTAGCAACCGATCCACTGCTGAAACCAGGTGACCTGCTCCAAAAAACAGGAGCAAGTTGGGTGCCTCTTGCAACAGGGTGCTTCTCGCAATAGGGGACTCCTACAATAGCCTGGTTTCCTGGTGCTGCTCCTTCTGCAAACCGAACAGTTTCTCCCACACGGCCCAGTTCCAAGCTGTGACCCCGGGCAGTGACCCACGGAAAGGCCACAGGTCGGTATACCAAGGGAGGCAGCGGAGCCGTCGCTGGCAACTCACCCCTGGCGGCGACCAAATGGGTTGCCGCCCCCGCCCCGGCGCATTTGACCTCATTTGTTTCCCGAAGGTCAGCCACACACGCAAACGCAAAGTGAACTTATTTGCAGAACTTTGATGACGTAAATTGTTAAATCACTAATCTAGCAAACCTCATATTGGCAACAGCACAATACCAACGGGTTCTACAAACCCGTTTATCTGCTGAAAGAAATGTTGAAACCAAACAGGTCTTGGTAAGTGTATTGTGAGAAAGAGCATCATACGAATACACACCAGGTGACCTCACTATATTACTCGAAAGGACTGACACCAGGCACAAAAACAGTGTCCAAGAATCTTAGGCCTGGAACAGGTGTTTAGTGTTTGCTGCCGGGCACTATCCAAGCAAAAAACAAAGTGGCTGTCACCGGGTCCCTGTCACAGGCCGAGGCCTGCTTTAGCGGTCCACGGCAGCATGCATCCACATGTTTAGTCAATGGGACAATATGGATCAACATGGGTCATCTCTGGACAAAGCGCAACTCGCAGGGTTTCTGGTCAGCGGCGTTGTCCGTGCACCCTGGAATGCTCCCAGATCATAGATGTCTTTTTCAAATGTATTATGGTATGGGCCAAAATGCATGGAGCCAAACTGAAACTTATGCTATCTGTATTCAACCAAACTAATCTAAACTGACGACTATGTGAATGATCCGCCTCGGCTTCTGCACCGTGAGCACTGCGTGCGCATTGGTCCCGCCAAAGCCGAAAGAGGATAAGCCCACCTGACACGTGGCTGCACCAGCTGAAGGTGCCGTTTGGCGTCCACTGCACTTTGCCGCTTTGCCTTTGCTCCCTGAAAATGAACGCACACTCGGACCTTTAGATAGCTTATTGAAGCGTGCAACTTCATTTCCAGTGCTTTTGCCCGTTCTTCAAGGGTCCACTTGTTCTTTGGTTGAAGGAAGCATTGAAGTGGACCCCTTGCCTGCCTGGAATCCCTCCAATTCAAATACGGATTCATCCAGAGGACCATACTACTGAGGGCTGGTCCCCTTGTTCGGTGAGTTCCGTCATTTGATTTCTTCTGATGAGTATCATGCTCCCAATCAATCCAAATCTCACATCGTATCGCTAAATAAAACCCGCCATTTGCAAAGCCCAAGCGTCCCAAAAGGAAGAGTGGAGCGCCTTCACCTCTGGCACTTCATCAAAGCTGGAACTCAGGCACTGCGCGCTCGAGGGCACTTGCGCCAGGAAGTCCTTGCGACATGTTGGCCGTCTTCAAACGCGAGGCACAGAAAACAGTCCAAGCACCTTGTGAGGTCCCCACCTTGTGAGGTACCCAAATGGTCGGTGTCACTTTGTTTCCTCTTCAAAAAGCAGGCGTCCAAAGGGCACAGTAGCTGGTTTTGCGTGTGCTTTGAAAGGGCCAGAGAGCCAACATGCAAAGAACGAGCCGAGAAAAAGAAAAAGCACGAGGTATCAGGGTTTCCCATGCCCTCCAGAACCAAAAAAGCAAAAAACTGAAGCCATTAGGAGCAACGCCTCTTTCAGAGCCCGGCCCCAGTCTCCGTCACTCCTTGAGGTCGATGTGTGGGTTCAACTCCGCGAAGTGCACGTTGGGCGGCGCCTGGCAGGCGGCCGAGTGAATCAAACACCGTCTGGGCAGGGATCCAGATGCATTATACACCCGAACATTGCCCTGTTAATGGCGGTATCCCTTTATGTTGGTGTTGAAAAAGCAACATGTTTCAAATGGTTGCAAAATGAATCTTTTAAGGAGCCCTGCTGAGCAAATGGCTACAAACCGGAAGTAAGGCATCTGGAACCCCCTGTAAAAAGTATTCATCACTGGTCAGCTCGACTTATCCCCAGGGATCTTGATCTCAAAGCCAAACAATCTTCACCACTGGTGAGCTCGTGCTAACCCCCCGCCCCAAAGGTGAGCTCGAGGTCCTCTCCGCAAGAAACCTTCATGGCTGCGGGCAGTGAGGTCGTTGTTTGCCCAAATGTGTGTCGTGGTCAAACTTTCTATGTAGAGCATGATTTCCGTAACAACCATCCCCTCGCAGATTGCGGCCTCCAGTAATTGATGCATCGCTTATGAATTGGGGATATGTCCATTCAGTCTCGCGTGCCTCATTGTGCTGGAGGACCATCATGCACCTGCCACATGCCAACTGCGTTTCTGGGAACGCTTTATGAATTCTATCCTGCTGATTGCAAACAATTCCACAATGAAACAATGGTGTTGCTCGGAAAATTTTAGGGGTGCTTTCAAAACTTTGAAACATTCCCTGACAAAGAAAAGGGAGTTCTGATGGCGCTTAAACAGTATGCACCCTGACGGGAGGAAAACTACAATTCCTGGTGTCACGCTTTGGATCAGGCTGCAGAACAGCGTTTCTTGAGGCGGGGACGGGTTACTTTCACCCACAAATGCAATAGTCTTGCAGAGCTTCCTGCACAGTCCCAACAACACACCCTGGGGACAAACACGCTTGAAACCGGCAAAGGGGCCCTTGTGGTTTTCCATCCCAAAAAACAATGCCAGAGATACTAGGTCCTCCAGTAGAGAGGTTAGAATAAGGGTACCATTTTTTGTTCAGTACTCGATCTTAGTAGGGGAAGCCTCCCCGAAAAGGGCACCTGGCTGGGGGACCTAGGATAGCAACACATTCCAAGTCGCGCGTTCGTCCAAGGCACTTCACCAGGCCCAGGGCGCCAGCGGCACCCTCCAAATGCCCGACCTTAGTGCTGCCGGCCCGGCGCCGGCGGTGCCGAGAAAGGCACCCCGCGTTGAGAGGACCAAAACGAGCGATGTACCACTCAAATCAAAACTGGCAATCTTTGAGACTCTCCCCCGCTTTTCGGCAAGTACAATAATTATCTGGACTGATTGAAATGGCAGTGTGGCAGTCTTGCGATGCAGGGGGAATGGAAAAGAAAAGGGTAGTGGATCCACATTCATCCAAGGTCTCAAGACCCCCCCCAACCAAACATTGGGCATTCACCACTTTCAACCACCTTCATCACCTTCATTCCATAAATCTGCAAAAAAACAACAAAAAATCGGCAGTACCGCCAGGAAGAAACCTAACACTTCAGCGATCAACGCTTTGCGGCGCTGGAGGCGACCCGAGTCCCGAGTCCGCGGGCGTTGGTCTTGCCGGCCATGAGCTGCGGCGCGGAGTCGTCCAAGGTGCCCTTCAAGGCGCCCACCTGGCGAGAGAACTGGACTATGTGGACCCCATATGAATAAACCTGTGAATTCATATGGTGTCCCCCTCCAAAAGTGAGAAATCCCCCACTAAAACCAGGGACACCCCCATATTTATAGACGGGGGTTTATTGATATGGGGTCCACATTATGTGTCAAAAGGGGTCGAAGCTTCTAACTCGATTCGAGATCTGGGCGTAAGGACTTGACTTTCCTCTCTCACATGTACATCATGAAGTACGAGAAGGAAAAGAGCCGGAAATCCAAAAAGCTTGTAAGTCAATAGATATTCTATCCGCCAGCAAGGCACGTCTGTACAATCCTTGACATATGATTCCCCGCAAAACGCAGGTTTTACCTGTTGGTTCCCATTTAACACAAGCCCATATGACGGAGAGCCAAAGCCTTAAAGGACCCTCCCCTCCTTTGAGGTCTCATTTGTTGAGATTCCTCTGGGCTTCTTGGGAGTAACTCGCTCATTGCCAAACAGCGGGCGTTTCTGGCGCGTCGTAGCCACGCCTCGATGGGATCTCCTAAGGCCGTGCCTGTGCCGTGACACTCCACCTGGCGGGAAGCGACCAAGGCGAGGGCCTGTGAGAAAATGGGAATTCGCCCACATTGAGCAACACCTATGGGAGGCGCCCTGAAATGGTGGAACACCTTTGAAAATTATTGAAAGCAAAGAGACCCCCGCCCCCCCAACTTTTAAGGGTCCGGCGCCTTTGTTTCCAAGTTCTCACGGGGGGTTCAGCGGGGAGCCAGTTGTAAGGGTCCTTATGCTACTGTTGCTGCAGATTCGCACAATTTGAGACAAGCCAATTTTCTGGCCTTGGGTTTGGAGATCAGTTGGCTCGCAGCAACCCTGTCCCTGGATCCCCGCTGGTGAGAACTCCGCCGGCCGCGCGGCCGAGATCTCTGCCGCTGCGACACCTGCCACACGGAGCGGCGGATGGGTCGAGTCTCTGCATGGACTCACTGCCAAGGCAGTGACGTATATCATGCGATGTTCATAGTATCCCGCCAAAAGGCAAATGTCTGATGGCCCGAAAGGGTGATGTTTAAACCATCCCAGGGGCATGGAACCAAATCACCAATAACAAACAGCTGGGTGTTTCATATGAGTTGTGACTCTTTGATGGATTGGGATCGACCACAGACCAATTCAAGGCACCTTCCCTAATAAGATGTTTAGCCGCATGATTTGGACCAATACAGGCGAGTATCCAAGTACCTTGTGAGCATGCACTTTACAGGCGAGTATCCAAGTACCTTGTCACTAGGGGTCAAAAGCAGTCAAATAGTACAAAAGGAGTCAGCGGAGTCAAAGAGGTCAAAGGGATCAACGTTTCAAAGTCATCCTCATACCAAGGCCCTCTTTCAGGAGTCGACCAAACCACAGGTCCACCCGCCCCAATGCCCCGATTCGCCTGCCGCTTTGAGGGCCCCTAGTATGGCCCTCTGCTGCGCAGGACCGTTGGGCGCTGTGAGGGAGGAGCTGCGACCATCCTGCAACCGGGACTGGGGAGGTCGGGGGTCCAATCAAATAACTCTTGGACAGCCGGCAGAGTCTCAGGGAACAGGTTGGTTCAGTTCCAACCAATTCATTTATTATATTAGTGGCTCCAGGTTCCAACGAAGTTATGGTTGCAGGTTGCAAACAGCTTATGGTTGCAAGCTGTGCTCCAAGCATTCACGATCCGGAGAAAATCGGGGGGAAGCTGGCCATTTCCCCTGACTCGGTCGCCCCAGGCACCGACCTGGTTGGCCTTGGAGCCGGCTGGGCCCATGCCATACTCCGCGGAAGGGGCCTGCCATGAGTAGCCGTCCGGATCCAGTCGGGGATAAAGTCGAGCGTTTGGAACATCCCTGCACCTTCAAATTGGTCACTGTTTAAGGCAGCGGGATAAGTTCAAAACCCTTTCCTGAAATGAGAGTTTTAAATCAAAATAAGTGTTTATGTTGCTCGATCCGGGAGAAAACACAAAATGCGAGGTCAGAAATGGAGTAGGGTGGGACCATCTTGTCATTTCACCATGAAGACCCTGCCGAATTCTGCTAACCCTCCTGCAAATTAATAAAGAAACAAACAAATAAACATGGTGGGGGAAGGGGGGGATGTAGTGCCAAGATCTTGCGAAAACGAAATTCAAGCGGGTACTCTGTAGTGGACATCATTTACATGGTGATTCCAGTTAAGCCATGGTCAAATATGTGGTTCTCGTAAAGCACATGGACAAATCAGGATTCTGACTTTCTTGTCAGTGCTAAAATTGACGGAGTCCAGGGTTGCGCAGACCCGTATTTCAACATGTGAAACACCTTGATTGAACATCCTGCTTGTAGAGCTTTCCAAAAGTGCCAATAGCGTGGCTGCTTCATCAAACTTGGCCCAGGCAAACCTCTCCGCTCCTCGCCGCTCGCTTGGCCTTTGTGAGGAAGAAGCTCCCAAAGCCCTCGCCCCGAGCGAAACCTGCGGCTACAGCGAGGTCCCAAGGGCCAGTGACGTTTGCTCCGAAGCTCAGGGCACAAGGCTGAAAGAAAAGAGCCGAGCTGAAGTGAACCTAACTTGTCTGGGTACCAGCACCCGGTGTCTCTAGATAAAACCATCATGTGAAACCTAAAGATAAACACACTTGGTCGCAATCGAGGAAAACCAAAGAGCAACAATGCACAAATGTTGGTGCAGCTTGGAAAGTACAGCTGGATGATCTAGGGTAGAGGAGAGAATGCCAAAGCAAATGGACAAACACGGGCTCTTCACCCTTCTCATATATTCCCCAGATCAAAAAGAACTGAACCTCTCGCTTTCCCTCTGGGAACGTCGAGAGAAGGGACCCATGGCTTTCGCCCAGGAGAGACACCTCTATTTTGTGGTTTGTTTTGGGAAACATGCTGGTCATGGGTGTCGGTTTACTGGAAGAGTCATTGCGGTGTCTGTTTAATTTGGGAATAATTCCTGCTAGCCAGTCTTGAAGGTGTTCCAACCAACACACAAACATAATTCATAGTATGTGAACCCTGCCATGAACCGTCCTTGATTGGCTAGCTAGGTAATCATCTGTACCAGAAAGAGAAGGCCCCAAACTGATCTTGCCAGTGAGTTGAGTCATGGGTGATGAGCGTCCCCAGATCAAAAGAGGCCCCAGCGACCCGGGTAGACAATTTAATGCAGAGCCCTTTTTAAGCGTATTACCATTGCGCAAAGCTCAGGCCGATGCCAGGGTTCAGCCCAGCCCTGTTTCACTGTTCAATCCATCGCTCAAACCACCTGTAAAGTGTCCCTTCCAAAAGGACTTCCTAGGGTTCAAAGCACCCTTCTTGTCTTGGTTCCCCTTGTAAAACAGCTTTAAACGGGACTGGAGGGTCGGTTGCTCCAACGAAACTTCCCCCCCCGCCCCCCCGACGCGACCGAAGCTTCGCCCGGGCGCCGTCCGCGGAGGCGTCGAAGGTGCGGCACCGGCCGCTGGTGGACAGCAGTCGCCCGTTGCAGAAGGCCACGAAGGGCTCCTACGCGGGTCCCGCTGGGGCGAACCCCGGGGGCTCGGGGCGCGGGGGGATGGAGACTCGAAGAAACCAGGAAGTTCTGGAGGCATTTCTGGCCATGTGCTTGGACCCTTTGCGCCCCTCAAGTAGAAGTAGAAGGTAGAAAAGGAACCTTTGGTCGCTTCTGACTGTTGAAAAGAGAGTAAGGACCCATCAGCTGTTCCAGAAACCTGACTTCAGCCCATACTCCCCCGCAAATTAGCATGAAGCCTTCGCGGGAAAAAAAAAATAGGAGGGTGCCAAACAGGGGTCTGAAAAATCATAGACATGAGGGCCTGCCGAACATGTAGTTCACATTGACATGTTCTTTGGGTTAAATCTGACTCACAATTATGGGCCATTTACGTACTTACCACCAAAAGAGGAGGTACCTGGAGTCTTCTTGACCCTTATCATCCACTCCAAATAAGGGGTGCGCCAGGTACATCGTTCTTTGCTTTGGCCATTTCAAGTTCTCGAGCCAAGGTGCCACGATGAGGTTCAGCTGGCTGCCGCTGCACAGCGCTGTCTCCAAATGGCCAAGCTCTAGGTGCTGCAAGGCGAGGTCCAGTGCCACCAGCGTGGAGGAGCAGGCGGTGTCCACCTGGGGCTCTGAGGATTTTGAAGCCGCTGGACATTGAGAGGATTCATGTCCACCAACTTTGTGAGGTGGGTTCCTCTTGAAATTTTGATAGCCATGAATAGAGAGGTGCCCTGAAATGGGTGGTGTTCAAGTTGGTCGCCATTTAAACTAACCCCAAAACAACACACCCTCAAAGAAACCGCACTCGCGCATGGCGAAAGGTCAAGGAGATCGGAATGTGCTTTCGAGGAGCAAGCAAAAGGCCAGGCCAAACTGTATGAGTGCATTTCCACCAGCATGCAGCTTGAAGGCTTGATTTCCTTCATCTTGGTTGACGTTGGAAGGGGAGCAAAAAAACATAATAGCACTTAAGTGGGGATTTCCCACTGAACCACAATAAGCAAAAATGTATAATGTTTCCCAACAACAACCATGTCATGTATTGACTTTTGACATCCTTTCGAAAATCATTGGATGCCCGAGAAGTATAGAAAGCCCCTTCAAAGGGGTCAGGCCCTTTCATTGGCCGCCTCAACAAGCAATCGCGCCCGACTGAATTCCGCCGCGGCGCCGTCATGCTGACGCCCTCAAGGCCCAGGCAGAAGGAGATGCGGTTGGCCGCAATGCTCGCCTTATGGGAGGCATTCCTAAAAGCCCCGCTTGGACGGTCAACCAACTTCGTAAGTTCGTTGCAAATAAGAGGTTGTGGACATATAATGGGGACTCTGTCGCGGACATTTGCGCGTCCTCTTGTTCTGTTCCGCTTCCGGATGGGCTCAGGGAAGGACACTTGCCAACCAACAATGCATGTTGGGCTCAGCTTCCGAGAGGCTCGCCCCTGTCGGAATCGATCCCCTTTCAATTGGTAACGCGGAAATCCATTCATGTAGACGACATGACCAAACAGAGCCACCAACTCAAAGGGATGGGTCAATGGGTCAAACCAGAAAACCATCCCCGGGTCCCGCTCTCAACCCAAGGCGCCAGTCTGCTTGTTTGACGACCTCACAACACGATCCACGTTTGGACGCAGTCGAAACAGAGGCAGTCACAACACTTTGTAGGGCCCCCTAAATGGCATACCCTGGCACCAACAGCCATTAGCCAGGGTTCCTCGTACAGTTGCTCCTTGGAACATCACCCCAACAGACAAATCATTTTGAAACGGCTACTTAAAGGTAATCTTCGAACTACCCATAACCAGAATCCTGGGTGTGCCGGGTTTGGCCTCCATAGGACACCAAAGCCCTTTGTTCGCCCAAAGCCAAAGCTGAGGCGCATGGGTGCCGGGGCCCATGAAGGTCCCAGCCCGGCGGTTTGAAGACTTGGCCCAGTCGTTGGCGCACTGCCCCACGAAGACCCCGGTCGACGTCTTGGTCAAATCCTGCAGTAGGCTCACCAAAGCAGCCGTGTCGCATTTTTCCCCCCCTCCCCTTTTTTTCCGGCGTTGAGGGCTGCTTGTTCTCAGGAGGATTCTTTGGGAGGATATGCCGTTGCTGCTTTGCAGGAGGCTATCTTGGTTCCCCCTCCACCCACCCACAATGCGCAACGCAAATGGCTATCACTCACTCACTCACTCACTCACTCACTCACTCACTCACTCACTCACTCAATCAGTCAGTCAGTCAGTCAGTCAGTCACTCACTCATTAAAAAAAACAAAAAACAAAAAAAAACATCAAATCAATCAATCCATCCAATCCAATCCATCCATACATCCATCCATCCATCCATCCATCCATCCATCAATCAATCAATCAATCACTCAATCAATCAATCAATCAATCAGCCAATCCATCCACACACACCCCTACCCCCCGCCCCCCCCTTTTCGGGTAAAGACCTTGAGAAGTGATGCTGCGTTCTTCAGGTTTCGGCAATAGACTGCAGACATAAGGCATGTCTTCCTCTCTGGAAATCACACGAAATCAATGGCCTGGTTTTGGCTGGTTGCCCGTGGTGGGACAAGGGACCTTTTTGGTGACCTTGTGCCGAAATTCACTGAAAGGAAATCCACCTCCGGGGCAAAAGGTCTGAAACAGGCAAACCCAAATTTGTGGTACCCCTTGCTCAGCATCTCTTCTCCTTTGAAACCACAGCCATGGACTGTAGACTATTGTAGACTGACCAAATTGTGGGCAGCTGGCAACAAGCAACACAAGCAAGAATTTCACAGGAAAACACGCAAACAAAGAAACGATGGACCACCCGACCAATGATGCAAAACAAACAAACGACGTTGTAAACCAACCTGTGTGGGGGCGGGGTGTCCATGTCTTCTCTTGGGAAGCAACTAACCGAGACAACAAACAGCACCGTGCAGCACATTGTGGACAAGCTAAACAACATGAACAATTCAAACCGGATCAGCAAGGGCTTCCTAAGCAAGCTGAAGCTATGAAGCTATTTCTTCCCAAGGCCCATTCCTCAGCCATGGGGCATCCGCAAGGTGGTGACTGAGAAATAATGCAACACGGGATACATCAGCAACCCTGTCGGCCCCTAGTCTTTTGAACAAACAAGGATGACACTGGAAAATAATCAGAACCAACTCCAAAGCGCAAACACCATTCCTTCCGGCCAAATTAGTATAGTTCCCAAACCGAATAACTATGAGGCATCTCGAGGGACCTTCATAATAAGCTCTGCTTTTATACCCCAGTGATAAGCTCCTTGTGACTCCAGAAACGCTAAAGTCCCACCAATCCCCACCAACCCCCAGCACACCACCCCCTCACCCCCTCCGTGGTCCGTGCCGTGGCGCCTGCTTGGTGCGGGAGGCGCCGTGGCAGGCGGCGTAGCTCACCTCCAGTCCGTGTCGCTGCTGGGGGTCGATGGCCGCCGCCTCGTTGGAGGAGATCCCGAAGAAGCGCCCGTCCTCGACCGCAGGGCGGGGGTGTGCGGGGGTGGGGGGGCGGATGGGGATCCGAAGCGCCGGGGGGGCTGGAGGAACGCCTACAAATGGGGATAAACCACCTAGCAAAGGTGGTTTGTCCCAATATAAATATATATATATATATAGAGTAATTACTTATATTCATGCCGAGTGCCAATTTGTCTGTCTGCAATATGAATTGCGTGGAGTCATGCGTGGAGTGAATTTGGTTTCTTTAGGGTGGATACAGGCGAGACACGATGGAAACCAGGCTTGGGGACTTTGCCCCTTTCTGCGATATCAATGTCGGCCATGCTAGTGGCATGTTTGCTACTTTGGAGGTGGGCTCACAGAAAATGGCCCTAACCTTTCATTCAGGATGACGTTCTGCACGGGTCCTGAGGCTGCTATCGCTTGTCTGACAAAACAAGAGGACCAACCTGTACCATAGGTCTGCAATTAAAGTTGCTCTATCTATTGCTCTGCATAAGAAAGAGAGTCTCAACATACGAAAGCGTTGGTCTGCAATTAAAAGCATTAGTCTTGCGCCGACATGGCGCCTTAGGTTGGACCTGTGTCACTTGGCAAGGGCCAGCGCGTGTGCTACGGATTCGGGGCAGGGTTTTGCGAATATGAGATTGTCCTTTTGCAGGGGTCTGAAACAGGTCTGAAACAGGTCTGAAACAGGTCTGACACAGGGCCCAATGCCAGATCCATCTCTCCCTCTGTCTCTCTTGCGTCTCTTTCTTCTCTTCCAATTCTTTTCATTCTGTGGGTTTAAAAATAAGCTCCTTCTTGCTTTCTTTCTCCACGAGCCACGTAGACAGGGCTTAGGCAGGTCAAGTCAGCGCACTTAGCTCCGCAATTCCAGGCGCTTATGTAACATGGACAATGGAATTACGAAAGCGTTGGTCTGCAATTAGAGGCATCAGTGTTGCGCCAACATGGCGCCTTAGGTTCTTGGCAGGAGCTGGGGCGGGGTTTTGCGAATATGAGGTGGTCCTCTTGCAGGGGTCTGAAACAGGTCTGATACAGGCCTGACACAGGGCCCAATGCCAGATCCAAGCATTCTCTTTCTCTTTCTCTCTCTCTCTCTCTTGCTTCTCTTTCTTTTCTTCCAATTCTTTTTTTCATTCTGAGATTTGTTTAAAAACAGGTCCCATCCCCGGACGCCAGGAGCTTCAAGAATTCAGGGAAATCTGGGAGTCCCGTCCGAGACAAGGGGCATTCATGTCCTCTTGCTTTCTGTCTCCACGAGCCGCGTAGACAGGGCTTAGGCAGCTCAATTCAGCGCACTTAGCTCCGCAATTCCAGGCGCTTATGTAGCATGGAATTACGAAAGCATTGTTCTGCAATTGCAGGCATCACCATGTCCCAATTGGTGTTTCATACTACCTCCACGGCCCGCGAGCCGCTGCACCGCTATACTGGTGCTGGGGATTCGGGGCAGAATTTTGCGAATTTGAGATGGTACTTTTGCAGGGGTCTGAAACAGGGCTGAAACAGGTCTGACACAGGGCCCAGTGCCAGATCCAGGCATTCTCTCTCTCTCTCTCTCTTTTTTTCTCTCTCTCTCTCTCTCTCTCTCTCTTTTCCAATTCTTTTCATTCTGAGATTTGTTTAAAAGAAGCTCCCATCCCAAGACGCCAGGAGTTTCAAGAATTCAAGGAAACCTGGGAGTCCCGTCCGAGACAAGGGGCATTCATGTTCTTCTTGCTTTCTTTCTCCACAAGCCACGTACACAGGGCTTGGGCAGCTCAACTCAGCACACTTAGCTCCGCAATTCCAGGCGGTTATCAAGCATGGAGTTACGCAAGCATAGTACCAACATGGCGCCTTAGGTTGGACCTGTGCAATCTGACCTGGATTGGCAGGAGCTAGCACAACGCAGCTGCTAGCAAGGCCTTGAATTGTGTTACGCCCTGTTTTTGTTTTTCCCTTCTTCTTTTTTACGGGGAAGGGGTCTGTCTCGGTATTGCCATTTAAATATCCTAATTGGTATTTCATACTACCACCAGGGCCCGTGAGGGTAGCCCGGCCAGCCACTTTAAATATCCGATTTGAACAGATGTCTTACACTACCTCCCAGCCCTGAATCCCAGGCCCGGCCCCCACATATTTAAAAGTCGTCACCGAACCATCAGGCCAAGGGATTCAAGCGTAAACCCCTGGAACAAACCTCGGTTTATTGGCTAATTATTCGCTTGCGATGGCTTCATTCGGGAAACTAGCCACCAAGAACAGCCCAAACAAACAAGGCCCTAAGGATTCATACACGGGTGTATGCATTGAGCCGTTCAGTGTTGGAAAACCCTCCGTCCAAGGACACACCCAATACATGCCGAAGTCCCACGATGAAGATTGAAGATGCAAACGGGGCCAACACTTGGACGAGAGTCGAAGAGCTCCACCTTGGCCACAAAGCTGCCGTGCCTGGCGGAAAATCTCTGCCACGCTTGCAACATGAAACTCGTGCTAGGGCAACGTGAACAGAACGCGCATATGCAAATTCAGTGGAACCCAAAACTGGGGCCCGCCAGAAGAGATTCCCTCTACAAACGATGAGAATTCATGTGAATTGCAGGGGAGGAAGCTTCCGCATTTGTGGTCGTCTCACCGACCAAGAAGATTGTTGCTGGCCCGAACAATAGCTTGCTTGGTTTGGTCTTTGGGGGGATAGCATGGGTTACATTTTGTCAAGGATTCAGACATGTCTGGAAGCCAACGATGCAGGACCCACCGGCAATACCCGACCCACAACAATGCCACCCTTGGCCAATAGTGTTCAGGTCTGACTGTGTAAAGGTTGGAAGATGTAGACATGCCTGCGGCTTGTTACTCAGCCAGCAACATAGACATCCCGAGAGCACGCTCCAAAACTGGCTCCCGTTCGTCGACATGTTTATTGCTATGAAACGCATGTGTCGCAGAATCGTTGCAACCGGTGTGCACAAATCTGAAAAGCAGAAGGGATGTCCGGCGAGAAAATGGCAGAATAAAAACAAAACTGGATTCCTGGAAGGACACATCCCCAAGTTTCCTCAAGTGCGGCTTTCAACACAAATGATCAAGTGCCATTAGCCAAGTGCCGATGTCTTTCAGGAGCTGCCTGTGGGTCTGTCTCAAAGGACCGCAAAAGGAGACTAGCCACCCCAATATTGCGTAATTCCCCCCATTTCGAACACCAAGCTGTATTGGCTTGCGATGGCTCATCAGCGCTGTGGGATTGGGTCGCTTTGGGACCCTAGTTTCATTGAGTGCACCAAGTCTGTCGGCCCGGTCACGCCTAGCGTAGGTCAGGAACCCGGAGCCTGGGGTCAACGGCGAAGCATAGGTGTCCTTTTAGGCGAAATAGATGGCCCTGGTAGATGAAAAAAGCACCAGGTAAACCAGGGCCAGCAACTTTTCTACTAAAACAACCAAAAAAGACACCTATGTTTCAAAGAGTTCTCACTCAAGGCCTCACACGACCTGACAGTGGATTCCACAAACAAATCAAGCGAGTAGGGAACCGTAGGGATTGCAGATTGCTGTGGCATCATCTTTCGGAATGGCACACACATCTCAGATCTCAGCGCGCATTCCCCAAAAACATACAAAGCGAGCAGGGCATCTGTTCAAACTCGTATGTGCCATGAATAGAGGGTTTACTCAATATTGAGGGAACCAACTCTCAGATTGCAGCGCAACACTCTCCTTTCAACATGCACCGAGTGGTCCCGAGTTTTCTCATGTGCCCTTCCGATGGCGGCTTCCTTTGAGGCGGAAACCCTTGTCCCATTTCAGAGCCGGCCCCGACTGGGTGAGTGAAAGAGGTACCAAAGAGGGGTGACTCTCGCCCAGCCATTGAGCCAATTCAAAGAAAACACGCTTTTCGGCTAGGAAACTGGAATATAGTTGATCCTTTCAACTTAAATTGCGCGTGTCGCTTCTTGAGAGTACCTGTTTTGGGGTTAGATTGAAAGCAAATCAAACTGATGATGGTCCAAACTTGCTATGTGGTGTTTCCTTGGGAAGCTTCACATTGGTTGCTCAAGACCCAAGAGTCTGACTGCCCACTCCAAATGCACAAGTCGTTCACGTCCCAGGCGCCGTCGGCTTCGTAGTAGTCGTTCACGTCAAAGCGCTGCAGCGGCACCTCCACCACTGCGTCCAGCTGTGCCTGGAAGATCTCAGCCCAAGCCTCCAGCTCGGATCCGCGGGTGGATCCGGGGGGGCTGGGCACAAGAGACGACGTCTTTTTCTTTGGTTCTACCGATCCTTACATGGCCCCGAATGCCGTGCCATGGACGGCTTCTGTTCAATACATAAGCTAAACAGGTCCAAGTCAAGTCCCTTCTCCGGATGTACTTAAGAGGTGAACAAGGGCTCAATGTCAAAGTTTGACTGTCAAAGTATATCCTTCACAAGGCACTACCAATACTAAGCTGGGTTCAATCCAAGTCATGTTCATATCTCAGGCCCAATGTCACCAATTCTTTAGCCCGGCATGCCTGGACCTTCGGACACCTCCACCTTTTTGGGCGCTCCCTTCGCGCCTCCTGTGGTGTGGTCGCCATGGGAAGTCGGCACGCCTGGCCAGCGATGCGCGTCGGAGCCAAAGCTGCCGGAGCCAAACCTGCGGGACTCGTCGAAGTCCTCGGGCGAAAAAATGGGCTAAGAAGCCTGGAAAAGGGGGCTCTCAAAATCTAGGTGTTTGCTTTTGACGTAGGTTGGTTTGGAGTCCATATAAGTTCGGCGTTGCTCTGCTCTTCATGGCCTGGTAGGACAAGGGAACCCCTCTCTGGCCTACCATCTTTGATTTCGAGATTGGGGAACCTTCGTCTTTCCCCTCAATATCGCTTTCCCTTTGATTTTGGGCCCTCAAAACTGGTTGACAGGTCGAGGCTCTGCATTGGAGGACCCAGGGCTCTGCATTGGAGGGGTCATGACCCTTGGGCCCTTGGGGCTGTGGACAACATGAGGTCCAGAAACCTGTCAACCTTCGGCCAGGGCTCGGCTGCCGTTGCGCCAGGAACTCTGCGATGGCCCGTGCGGTCGGAAAGTCGAAAGCCAAGGTGCTGGGCAAGGTGCCCTCCGTGTCCAACCTGCGCGCAGCTCGGATGGGGCTCCATGCCCAGGCAAACCCCGGTAACCTGGCATTAAACCGATGTGATTGTAGCTAGTTCCCCGACTTTTCAGATGAGTTTGCAAGAAGTCCCCCAAATCCTTGAGGAAAACGGCGAGCACACCCACCAACTACTGCTTGTTGTTGGAAACTTCGGGGGGTTGGACATGAGAACAACATGCGCTGGCGGGTGCTGGTCATGGGTGTGCACGAATAATGCAACACACTGATACTTGCAAAATGCAAAAGACCGCTGATATGGAGAGGGGTAAGGGCCAAAACCAAATCAGGACGCAAACACCCGACAGCGCAGGTTACGGTACTCTTCATTTTAGTGGCTGCAACATACTAATTTTAGTGCTATGATGGTGTCCAACTCGTTCCCCTACTTGCCTTGTATCTAACGGGCATCCCCCGCACGTTGAGACAGGTGAGTGTTTTTCTTGGAGTTGCTTTTAAAGGAGAACCCAAAGAAAACCGAAGCGAACTCAAGGCTCCGTGGCCCATTTGGGCACAAACCCTACATGGACTCGTTGGATGCTCAACATTTTCAGGAAAGTATAGGTTCGAGCCATCGTCAGCTTGCCCACTGGCCTACTTGCCTGGAACAGGTGCGCAAAAATTCACCCCACCTGACGTCTTATCCCAACTCCTGGCGGATCCGCCTCCTTCGCAGCTCCAGGGCCGACAGGGAATCCATGCCAGCGCCCGTGAGGGGCTCATCCGCCTGCAAGTCCCCAATCCTCGGATCAAGGGAAACGGCCCCATTGGGCAACTGGGCAAATCACAACCTGTCAGAATCATTTGACACACCAAACACATCGCATCTGTAAAGGAATATGATCCTTTTGGAGTTGATGTGTTCAAGCTTTATACTCCCAAAGACCAAACCCCAAACCCCCCAAAAAAACGGTTGTAGGCCCGTATTCAGTGGTTGGGACAAGGAACTAGGGGTCTGAGCATGTCGCTCACCCCAAAACCCTGGAAATAAGCACACCACGTAAACCGGAAATATGTCTTGTGGGTAAATGTCCGAATGGCAGAACCCCCTAAAACACAACACCCAAAATATTCGAGTTGGTGCCTTTCCTGGTGAGAAAGGAATGGCAAAGAGAAACAACAAAAAAGGAATTTCCAATGTTTCTCTTTGCCATTCCCATTTACCAAAGTTTGTTGGAATGGCCATTCCCATTCCAACATTCCTACAACAGCACAAACAACATGGGAATGGCAAATGGGAATGGCTTGTTGCAGGGAATTCCCATTTTGAGCCAACCCCAGGGGCTGGTGGCATCCGAGCTGCACCTCCGCCGCCACCGCCAGGACCCGCGCCAGCGCCGAGATCTCGCCCTTCGCCTCGTTCGAAGCGCTGGCGGCCGAAGCGCCGCCCGAAAGCGATGGAAGCGGCTGGAGCTGGCTGAAGTACTTGGGGCGCCTGGCGACAAAATGAGCCGGACTTCCTTTAAAGTTGAGTGAGTCTGCGCCCTAAGATCTGGAAAACAACCAGCTTTTGGAGGCTCAATGAACATCCCATCGTTTTCAAGTCGAAGGGCGAACGAACCGAACACCAGCCATGAGGGCTAAAGATTCAAACATGCCAAAGTCCACACAAACAAAACCTAACAGGGCCCTGCCCCTGGCCAATCGTGCGCTTGGATGTGTCTGACCCTGCGGCTATTAGCAATGCCTGCAAAAATAGCACAAATCGTTCACTACCGGCGCCTGTTCATACGGGATTCGCATCGCAGGGACACCCGGATTGATCGCCCTAAGTCAAAGATCCTGCATGGCTGAGGTCACAACCCCCCTTCAGGTCGCCACGCCAGCCATTCCGGCGCCGAAGTAGATGGTCCTTTTGGACAAATCAATCATTTGTAAATGATTAGAACCAAACTGAAACTAGTACCATCAATGTTCAACACCAAACGAAGCTCAGGACACCTATAGGTCTACGTTGTTCATTGAGCCATCCTGGAGGCTACGCGCTTTTTGGCTGAGCCCCGTCTTGTGGCAAGCCGTCCACTGGCTCAACTTTGCGCAGAATGCAGATATGGTGACACAGTGAAGCTTGAGGCAGTTGCTTTGCCGCTGCGTTGCAAGGTGCGATAGGTAACCATACTGGATGCATGGGCTTGTCGCGCTTCACTTGCACCGGAGGGTGCCCCGAACCCCTGTGCCTCTATGGTTGGCCAGGAAAGACACACCCTGACCTACAGAAAGTGGCCAGGAAAGTAACTCGTTTGAATCGCCCTGAACCTTCGCCTGGAGCCCCGGCTTTCGTCCAAGCACGCTTGGACGTCTGTTCCGAGCCTCAATTAAACGGCGAAACCCTGTCAGTTGGACGTTAAAGTCAGCTCCACAGTTTGTTTCCCGCTGGTGGCCAGTGAAGCAAGTCATTTGACCACCCCAGCTGAAGCGATACGTATGGTTGATTCCCCACATTCACGGCAAGTACACCAACCACTTGCCACTCAGTGATTCCACATTGAACCAACCATCAGGCAACCAACCCAATCCCACCCAACGCAACCTGAGTTTCGGCACCGCTCGCCTGGCCATCGCTTTGAGGAAGCCCGCCCAGTCCACCCGGGCGCAGCACAAAGCGCCCAAAGCCGCGCCCGGAGCGCCGAGCACCGAGGACATCACAGCCAGGCCTGGCGAGCAGAAGTCCATGGAAAATCCCAATCCAAGCATGTTGTTGAAGGCTATTAAAGGGGACATCTAAGAGGAAGAGTCTAACGCCGTGGGGGTGTTTCTCAGAAAAGTGGTCCGTTTGATTGGGTAACAGAAACCTGCGAATTTCATCGGGAAGCCTCTTATGGACAGGACTATATATGGGGATTGATGTCCAGGGCAGCTTCGAGCATAATTCAACTTCATAGGCATGGAGTGCCAGCTCCGACTGCCTTTCAGGGAACTACGCAATGCGGAGGTGTCAATAGGTTACCCTTTCAGGGACAAAACTGGACCCTGCGTGGGGCTTTCTGTGTGGGGTGTGACGAAAACATCTCAGAATCCTTGCTGGCAGGTTCAGACAAGCAGTTCCGAGTTTCGACAGCCTTGCCCCGTGTCCAAACCTGGGTGCCAGTCCAAGAGGAAGGCCAGCTTCTGTGATAGGATGCGTCACAAGGGAACCTCAACGGGGATGGGAAGACCACCAAGCGCTCGAGGTCGGCCGTTGCACTAACAGCAGACACTGCTGGCGCTCAACGCTGCGCCTTCTGCAACACGCAACAGACACGCAAAGTAGGTGATGATTGTTGTATCAAACCGCCCACATAGGATTAGTTCTCAGAAGTGGGCCGCAGCCCTGAACATGTGCAGTGGGACATTCTAGGGGCGCGATAAGATGGCCATTGCAAGTTATCTGAATGCCGCAAGGACAAGCGCTTCGAAGCAACAGCACACCTTCAAGACCGTTTGCCATTTGACCTGTGTTGCGGAACTTGAGAACCGAGCCCTCCATGCTTCGCCAGGCCTAGATCAGAAGTGATGCCTCGCTGCGAGAGAAGCTTGAAGCTTTCCTTCCGCGCTGCCATGCCAATGTCCCAGGCACCCCACTGAAGGCTGGTAGCTTTGGATCCCTGCAAACCTTGGCACGGCCAAGGCCTCCCTTGGTAAACTCAGACTTACTAAATCTGGTAGTTTGATTAGGCGGACCTTTTTGCCGACAACCTTCACTTCATCCATCCCGTATCCTATCCTCGGAAAACAAAGCAATGGACTATCTCAAGTAGAGGCCCTTATTGATAACAATCCTCCACAATTCGGCCCTCCAGGGTTCCAGATGCGACTGGGCTAGCCACACAGGCTTATGCTTCTTGACTTGGTGGTTTGCTCTATCTAGTTCAGACGACGACGCTATACGAAGCTAAAGACAACAGCAGAAACAAACAACAGAACCTGGTGGAAACACCGAGCACCCGGCGGTACTTGTGCATCAGCGCATCGAGGCACGCGTTGGCCGCCGCATAGTTCGCCTGCCCAGCAGCGCCAAGCACAGCCGCAGTGGACGAGAAGCCTAGGAGAAAGTCCAGGTGCTGCCAGTGTCCTCCGCTCACCAAAGCCTCAGACCATCGCCGGAGTTGCATCCAAAACCAGTTGCCGCAGTAACCCTTGTAGAACATGTGTGTTTCAAAGGAATCCATTAACTGGGCGCCACTCAACAACTGGCCAAATGAGGAACATGTGAAACGTAAACCAACCATCGTTTGAAGATGCATCAGCTTGGCTCCCTTCAGGGTGTGGTTGTTCAAACCAACCTCGGCGGGTTGGGAGCATATAACATCCCGGAAGGGTTTGTGTCAAATAGGAGGACCCCGAACATCCAAAATGATTGTTTTCCTTCCGGTTTCCCTTTAAACCGACCTCAAGGACAGAGAGAGAGAGAGAGAGAGAAAGAGAGAGAGAGAGAGAGCGCGGTTCGGTTGCCTGAGACGCTGGCGGCTTGCAGTTTCTGTAGCCCATGGACTTTGGGCCCAAAGACAGCCTCGAAGTCTCGGCGTTGAAGGCTCCTGGAGTTTTCACCCCGAAGGATCGTCAAAGGAAATGCGGGGGTACTCAGTGACTCAGTTAGTGGCCCTAAGAACTGATATCCATGTTACACGAGTTGTCCGTGGGTTCAAGCTGGAACCCGTCCAAGAAAACATGTTCAAGATCACCTTAAAATACGCACTATCTCCCTGACCGACTCAAACAACGCTTGAACAAACTTGAACATTGAGTTTGGAGCAATGAACCAGCTCTGACATGTGCAACCCGCAAAGGCAACCATGCCCTGCCTCAAAGTACCATCTTGAATAGAGCCTGCCAAGTGGAGCACCCCGCGCACGGAGAGGCTCGACAAGTCTAGGGCGTCCGAGGCAAGATCGCCTCAGCCGAAGTGAGCTGGGCAAACTACTATTCACAAACTGGAAAGAAATCCCCGGTGAAATCAGGGGCAAAGCAGCAAGTACTCTCGATTGAAGGCTCTCCCTCAGGATAACGTGCTGTCTTCTGAGAAAGCAATCTGGGCCTGTGTGAAAAGTACGTGAGTCCGATTATGCACAGGCGCAGCTTTCAGAAGCTGTGTGTTTTCCAAGTAGAAATTTATGTTCCTCTGGGGCTTGCCTGAGAAAGAACCCGAACCCGAGAGAGCAAGGTCTTGCCACCATGCCACTGCTTAAGGAACCTGTGTAGTGGGTGAGCTCGTTGTAAGTTGCGCAGAATCACAGCTTGCAGGAATATACATCATGCGCTTTGCCTGGGGAGTGCCCTGGGTGAGGGGGGGTGAGGGGCAAAACTTCCAACCTGCACCCAAGGGCTGGTTGAACAAGTCCAGGTTCAGGCTTGTTGAGGGCTGATTTCCAATCTTGCTACTACAGGCCAGTGTTTGCAGGTTGTTGGTTCATCTTGCAGGTGGTGCAGGCGTTTGACGAAAGCCAGCCGAACGTTCACGGGCATCGTACTGAAGGCTGCTACCACTTGGGCCTAGAGTCGCTTTCCAGCCCCTCACAGTTGTTCAATGCGACATGGGTATCGTGAACAACGGTCCCAACTGTTCTAAAGGCCAATTGGCTGTGGGTCTGAAATAGGTACCCAAAATGGAACCCAGGTAAATGGAACCATGGACCAAAACCTGCGGTCCCCTGGTGGCTTTATTTTGACCCACACCCAATTGATTCCATCTCGGCCGGGAAAAGCCGATCTCAACTCACTCAGCTTTGGCAGGCTCAAGCTGGAATGGAATGCAGGCCTCCAATGGCTCCTGCCAACATAGCTCTGTGGTAAAATCAAAGATTGCAATGGAAGCTACAGCCCAAAAGTAGCCATTAGAGACCATGAGTCCATGAGTCCATGAGTTCATAAGTGGTTTTGTAGTAGTGACTAGGGCGGTTCAGGACCATAAAGGATCCTGACAGTTCCATAGCCATCCACGCTTGAAACAAAGTCACACTGCAGAAGTTTCACAAGCGCCGCAGACTTCTGGATCGAGTCAGCCTTGCCAGATCTGGAGATCAGCACCAACTCCTACGCAAAGTTTGGTGCTCTGCAACCCCGGGTGAATCGCAAACAAACATACTGCCCACACAATATTCAAAGTGGAATCATATCAAGCTATAACCAACCTAATTCTCTTCATGCAATTTGATCACCATAATTAATTCACCAAACTAAAACAACAAGAAGGTCCCCCTCTCTCCCTCTCCAGCTCCTGCGCACCCTCCTCCAGCAAGGCTTGGCACACCTTTTGCCCCAGTGCCCCCAGGCCCCCGGTGATCACATAGCACCCGTGGTCGCGATCGGAGCCCAAAAGCAACGGCAGCTCCAGGACCACTTTGCCGATTTGCTGGGCCTGCGGGCGGAGGGGACCACAAGATCTGTGTGCGTGCGTGGGTGCGTGGGTGCGTGGGTGCGTGGGTGTGTGGGTGCGTGCGTGCGTGCGTGGGTGGGTGGGTGGGTGTGTGGGTGTGTGTCTGTGTGTGTGTGAAGGCAACCCTTTTGGGTCGGCTTACAGGGATAATCATTCAACAGGAGTGTGACCAGTGCCTAAACTGATTTCTTGAATGATCAAACCAGCAATTTTGCAGTGATTGCGAAGAGAATGCCGAGGAGAATGTGCTCCATGTCCGGCAGCTGTCTTGTGTGACCAAGCATTCAAGGCGCTTGATCGATAAATCAAAGTAGGCTGGGCTCAATTTTCGGATTTCTCTATCCCAAGCAAAGCCATTTGCATTACAACACGTCTGGAGCAAAATCCCATTGCCCTTTTCCACAAAGGATCCGCCTGGAAGACCAAAGATTTGCTTGGGGGCGAGGCCGCTTCGAAACCGCGTTCCTCTAGAATCTGGCGTTTCTGAGGAGTCACGCCACACTTTGCGCGGGCCAATCCCTGCCCCAAGTGAGGGCACACCGCTGCCCAGCAACAAGTGCTCGAGACCCAGCAACCAAGCGACCAGCCGACCAGACACGTCAATAAGAGCTGAACCACAATCAAGACTACAAACGGAAAACAGACATCTTGACACATGTTTACACTGTGGTGCTGGTCTCATCGTGTCCCCATTTTCCTAGGAATGTCAACAGGGGTAAACCGTGTCAACAAGGCTTTTTTTCAAGCGTGTCAACAACAGTCCAACCCTCAAAGTATTTCGGAACAAAACGATCCGCAAGTCCTTCGGTCCTCACAAGAGTCCAATCCAACAACAGTCCAATCCTCAATCGGAAAGCCAAAAGGACCAATTCCTAGGAACGCCCAAGGACCCCCGAACGGACCCGGGGCTTCCGAGCCTTGCGAAGCACTGTAAGCGCCTCTGTGCACTTGGCGAGGCCTCCGGCTCTCAGCTTGGCCCTGTAAAACATGGGAGAAGGAGCCCTAGCTGGTCGGGAACAATGGAAGGACCCCAAAAATGGACCGGAGGAGACACCTGACATTTGCTTGGTGTCCGTTTTGAGTTCACAAGTGTAAACACCATGCGAAAGTGGGTCCAGTCCCAATTTTAGAGCACCATTGACCTTGGGTTGGTGGGCCCATCTTCTTTCCGTTGCCCCTTTCTTTGCATGTCATAGGTGGCTGGCGCAGCCACGTGTGCCGTGCCTCCACAGCATGAATCGAATTGCTGACATCAATGCTTCTCTGGGCTTCTGGCATTCAGCATGAAAGCGTGGCACGTGTCAAACATGTGCCAGCCACAATGTACAAGTCTCATGTCACTTGAGCTCACAAAAGATGCCAGAGTTTAAGTCTATCTTGCAGCCATCTTCCACACACGCCCACAAAATCAAACCCTCAAGCATGCATGGGTCAGTCTTGGCGCTGTGGCATGATCAAAAATGCAAAGCCACCAATCACAAGGAGATGGACCCCATAGTGACAGGTGAACTAAGCCCATCACCTTCTTTTAGCTGGCAGCCCTGGAAGAATTGGAATCCTCACAAGGGACAATTAATCAGGGGATATAGTAAATCGCCGCCAGCCTTCGAAGACTTGACACTCCAAGGGCTTCCAGTCTCCCTTGCACATCCTGCGCTCAGAGGCAAGCAGCTTGCAACTCGGTCTAAATCTTTTGGGCGAGGATCTCAACGACCGGGCTTGTCAAAAAAAACGGGCAAATCCCTTCTGAGTCGTTTTAAACATGTCAACCGCAAACCAACGGGAATTGAGAAACGCAGTTCACATTCACCAAGCTCAAGTGAGGACTCCCCGGTCGAGTGAGGTTTCAATCCATCCTTGTGAGGTGCTAGAAGTTGCCAGAACAGGTCCTCTCAGCCAGGCCGGCCATGAGCTGCCCGAAGCGCTCGGGCTCCTGCGAGCCTCTCGCCGGTGGTCGGCAACGGGGGTTGGACACCCACACCTCTGAATAAAGTGGGTTGGGGGAGGGGGGAAATGACAATCGGTACTCTCTTGCCCCAAGGAGATGCAACAAAGAAGTGATCACCATGTAAGACCATGACTGAACATGAACCACAACGGGAAACCAAAATTCGACTGGTTGGAGTGCATGGCTAATGTTGCTTTATCTTCATTTGAACTGCACAGGCTTTCTGTTTTCCATTGCTTTCCACTGACCCCTGGATCTTGATGGTGTTTCTTCTTCAAATACAGCTTCCACTACCAGTCAGCAGGGCTCCTTTCAAACAAAACACTGATCTCTGAATAAAGCAAAAGCAGTGGGCAGCATCAAAAATATGGTATCAAATATGAACCTCGCCTGAGAGAAACAGGCTCAACTGACGGATGAGAGTCAACAAGGTTGCTGGGGTGCAGGGGCCGCAGCAGCACGACCGCCAGCACCAGCAAGCAAATAACAGCAAGAATGAAGCCATTCCCCGGAACCCCGCCAAGGGATAATGCTGGATGCACCAGTGTGCGGAAGGGGCAAGGACCCATGTCAGTGAAGGTCTGGTTGACCGGGAAAAGATAGCCTCTAAACAAAAACTGCGAACAAGCATCCTGCAATGAAACGACTCCTGATTGGGATTGCATGCGCAGCGGGATTTCTGTTTGCGTGTTTGCTTTGTGCAGGGTGTGGATGACTTCAACTGGCCGGGGGATTCCCGTTCCTGAGCCTGCCTGGAGACTGGGTCATCCATTGCTCAATCAGGCTTCCTTATGAATATCTCCCTTTGGGACATAACCCTCGGAGGACACTCATTCGAACACGGCCATGTTTGAACCCCACACACACACACGAACATCTGGACGTATATTGACCCCAGAGGCGAATTATAGTGGGCACCTTGTCGATCTGATTGATTGTTGTGGAGCTCTATATTGGAGCGAATTATAGCACTAGTAACATTTTGATGGAACATCCATATCCGGAAATATATTGACCCCAGAGGCGAATTCCAGTGGCACAGTGACAGTGACAATCCATGTGGATCATTTACGCCGAGGCGCACATGGTATCCATGGCCAGCACCTCGTAGCGCACGTCCGGGCGCTGCTGCCGCACCTCCTCAGCGGACCAGATGTTGCGCTTGCCGATCTCCACAAAGACGCCGCCCTCCTGCGATGGAAATTGGTGTTCCGCCCCGCTGGCGGAACTTGCGATCGCTGCGAGAGAGGCAGGGAATGAGAAATGGAATGACCCAAACAAAAAACCATCCAACTGGTTGTTGCCTTTAAGGGGACCAAAGTCTGGGTTCATTCCCTCGTTCCCTGAGCACCAGCAAGTAAAGCCTGGAGCCAATAGCAACCCCCTCCATGACTGGACAAAGCCTCAAGCCTGGAGCTATGCCCTACTTCCGTACTAGTACTTGTCACGTGCGAGGTAGCGCCGTGAAGGCTTCGGCTGAAATTTCATTTGTAAAACCCGCTGTTTCTCCACGGTTTTGGTGGTTTTCTTTTCTAACAAAATGCAAGAGAATGGGAAAATTCGCCCTAGACCCATCTTTGACCATCCCTCGCGAAGGACTCCCTCTTTGGTGAGAGACAACCAAAACAGCAAGGGCTTTGAAGATGCCACGGCGCCACCTTTCCAAGAGGAACTCACCTGACTCATTGTTTGAAGGGTTAGTACATAAAGTATTCCCGCAAATAGATATGCTTCATTTCTGCGCATTCGGCTTCAAGAAAAAGCAAACCAGAGCCATGGTTGGGGCAGTAACCCACTCAACCACAGGTCCAAACAAAAAGGGACCTTCTTTTACCTCCGCAAGCTGAAGCAGCTCAAAACTAGTTCCCAAGGCGTTCAGCCCATGGTTTGCTCGGAAAGCATAATCATGCTTTGATCAAAATTGCTTCTCGCCTTCAATGAGCTTGTCCAGAAGTTGATGATTCTGCATGGCTCAGACACTTTGTTTGGCCCAACCCTCCTGCAGGAATGACAGCGAGCGCCCGATGAAGTTGTCGTGACCTGGGCTCCACATGCACTCAGAAGCGCTCCTCTGGGGGCGGGGGACGCATTGACTCACCTACCCTAGGGCAATGGGTCCAACAAGATTCACAGGCCATCCAAAAGGATGAAACTTGAAGCCCACCCCAGTCAATTAATAACTGCACCCGTGAAGGAGAGAAAGGATGCCACAGGGCAAGGCAACTGCGCAACTGGTTTACACGGCTGCCAAGATCTGGCAAACTAATATGCCCAGCACCTGATTAGTTCTTGCAGCTCGATGGATTTGCTCCTTGGGGGGCCCAGTGTCTTCCGTTACTCCAAACAGGCAACAAAATGTCAAGGGCCTATCATGCAAGCTGCTGGCCCTTTGACGTGCCGCAAGTAAAACACAATTGGCCAGTTTCGCTCCACGCGTACTTGTTTTGGGCAAGGATTGCATCATCCCCTCCCTACCTCACCCAAATGCAAAAACGTTGGGCATGTGTACCGAATTGTACCGACGTTCTAAAGCCATGTCAACAGGATTCCTCTGAAAGACTCAGCCGGACTCAACCCCATTTCTCTGCCCGGCCACTGAGGCTGTTCAGCACCACGTCCACCTTGGCGGCCTCGCTGGCCAGCTGCTGACCCAGCTCCTGGCTTTCGGCTTTCGTAAGCCGGAGAGCAAAGCAGAAAGCAAAGCGCTGGAATTTTGAGAACTCAGAGGGACATGGCGATATCTCTATAGCCAGTGCCGCAGGTTTCGATTCCAACATGCACAAACCCAGTTGAGTATGTCCAACAGAACGCTCGCAGTTTGCTTCGTGTCCTCTTCGAAGAGCTTGCCATCCCGGGAGCTGGCTACCTGATGCGCGCATGTGCTTGCAAGCCCACGTTGTTGGGCTTGGTCTTCGCAGGTCTCCACAGGTGTTGCGGAGCAGTTGCCCTGAGGTGTCAAAAACGCCCTGAAAAAACACAGAAGGAACAAAAGCCAAAACGTTTCAGAGGCAACAAGCCCCAAGCGCAAAGCTGATGCGGGTGTGCGTTTCTGTTGAGGCTGCAAGACTCTTTTGGTTGGCTTTCAACCGAACCCCAACAAACCAGACATTTCGCTTGTGATCCCTGCTGTCAACAGAGCACAGGTGCCATTGTAAGACGCCCTGCCCCCTCTGAGGTCCTGGCGAACTTCACACCCAGCTGCAGCAAGTGCTGCTTCTTCTCCTCGAAATTCGAGTCTTCCAAAGGCAACAAACATCCTAGGTATCCTATTCGGAGAACCAGATGTTAGAACCAGACTCAAATTCGCGAAACCCATCTCTCGGAACATTACATACTACTATCTATAAACTGGAAATGCGGAATCGCGGGTGAGGGACCTTCATGGAATTCCAAGCAAGGAGGCTTGAAGGAGAGTAGACTTCTGCAATGAAGGTGGTCCAAGCACACTCAGCAGACATAAGTAGCAGGTAACATGATGTGATATTCTCCAAAGGTATTTCCACACTTGATGCCGTGTTCTGCTGTGCAATTCTTTGCGAGATGTCTGGCACTTAGTTTGTCGAGCATTGCATTACTAATATCCAGGAATAACTCCACGGAAGACCTCAAACCACGCTAAGCTCTTTTGCTTTGTAGATGAGTTGTGTAGAAGTACATGTGTTCAAGCTTGGATCGAACAACATGCTCCCTGCATCCACCACAAAGCCAGAGCGCAGAACCGATTGCATATGAGTCCCTACCCAAAAAATGCATGGGGTTAATTTGCCTACTCAGCTGCAGGAATGACACGAGCTGATCCGTCCTCGCGGCCGGCCGTTGCATACACCACTGCCCCGCGGCGCAGGGCATACTGAACCGCAGTGAGACCCACGCCGCCTCGACAGAGGATCTGAAACAGGATCTCCAACACCCAGAAGCAGGTCCGTTACCAGTGTGGTGGCCTTCTTGACTAGCTGCCCCAGCCGGCACTGGTATCATGATTTTGAGCGATCAAACAGAAAGATTTACATGGCAAGCGGCTGGCAGAAGAACAAACAAGGTCCTGAGAGCAAACATGGCAAGCAAAACGTGCAGAACTCCAGCCCAGTTGCCAAAGGCTGGCCTAGAGACCTCGTTGGTTTGTTTTTAATTGCTCACGCCGCCACTAACAGCGCGGAGCCTTTTGCACATGTTTTTTTTTTTTGGTTTTAATGAACCGCTTCCAGCGCCTTTCCCGCTGTTCCGGCCTGGTTGACGCCTTGACGACTTTGAGGGTTGAGTTACGCGGATGCCTGCAGGTATTGGTTTAGTGCCCGACACACCTTCCCTTAGTAGCCTTAGTACCATGCAGGGAGAATGGACTTATATGCAGAGTGTCATCTTGCTAATTACGACTGGCCCGCCGCAGGCTCCAAGACCACGACATGCAGTTTGCCAAGAGTGTTCTCTTGCCTCGAGATCCTTGAAAGGCCGGCAAGCCGCTAAGAAGTGGCTGCCACCTTGTGTCATGCTAAGAAGAAAGGCGGGCTGAATCCCGAGATGTGGCAGTACTTGTGCAACTACCAACGGAAGCGCAACACGCATGATTGCTTGTGGGAGGCACCCAGGCATCCTAATAGCTGGGTGTTTGCCAGGGTTGTGAATTCCTGCGCATGGTTAGTGGCGGGGTGACGTTTTTGGAACAACATCCTCGTGGTCAGGTGCCAAATAGCGGGAATGGACAATTCACATGTTCTTTGCCCTTGCGAGACATGAACATATGGGTCAATTCCGAGGCTGGGCTGTGCGCGGTATTTGTGCAGGACCCGGCTCCACCGGGACATGAATTGATATGTTTCGAAGAAGCGGATTTTAGAGGGGAACCAAAGGGAACAAACTGAATGCAACGGTGAATGCGACCAGAGAAAAGGTCACTGACTGTTGCCGCCTGCTCCGGCGTGCACCAATACCCGCTGTCCAGCCTGACAGGCTGACGGAAAACAACTGCACATGAATCAAGCATCTAGGGATATCTAGCGTCTCTTCGCGCACTTGCTACTGGAACGGAACATGCGCAACTCGAATGGCCTTCTACATACGCGCAGAAGCGACTGACAATCCTGAGGCTATGCCTTCAAGCCACTGGTACAACCTCCGAAGGAGCGCCATGTGAGTACAATGTCACAGCGGCAACCAGCTCACCTCTGTCTGGGTATTTTTGGGGTGTGTTCCTTACGAGGCTAAAATGCATATACATGCTCTTTGTATCCAGGAACCCTTTTGCAATGGAAGAAACACAGAAACACGAAATCTCACTTGGTGTTTTTTTTTTGCTGGCGGAACTCTAGCTCATGAAACAAACAGAAAACCTGTTGTGTCTTGGTACAACTCAAGAAGACCGTCCCAGCGAACACCGGATGAAGGCTGAAGCCCCCGCCTTGAGGTCCGCGAGCTCCCCCAGGGCCACCTTTGCGTCGCGCACGGTGCTGGCAACTGGGGGGGGCTCTCGGATGGCTTCCTAGCGAGTATCTAGGGTTCATGGTGACCTGCGAAGTTGAGTTGACCCAGCTGCTGTTTTCTTGGTGTCCTCGCTACGTAGTTGGGGTTCTCAAAACTTCCCCAGAAGAATCCGATGAAAGGCCTTCCACATGTATGAGTTCTCTTCAGAAACCACATCCTCCATTTGCTTCAGGCCCCGGGAAAAAAACAAAAAATATTTCCAGTAGTGATGAATTCCTTTTATAGACCAACCAGGGAAAATAATTAAAAAAACAAAAAATCTTCCAACCTCCACGGTGGTGTACACCGTGGGCAGCGCCGCCGCGTGCGTGAAGGACCAGGCGTGGACGTCGGCATTCCCGTTCGGCAGGGGCGCCAGAAGCCGGGGCTCCTGAAAAGAGGAACCAAAAGGGAAGCTCTAGGAACTCGTCTTGTCCACTTTGCGGAGATACACCAAAAAGGAGATAATATGGCTGTGGCTCAAAACATGGTACCCAAAATAACACCTTGGTATATGGAAAAAAAAGACTAGAACCGGCGTAACCCCAGCTGCTTAATTTTGAACCACAGCCATATAGGAACATCACGTCTCCAAGGAGGATGTAAAACGCATGCAGAAAAGCCTCTTGAGATACCCTTGCTCCCACGAAGGCACTGGTGGAAGCGCACCTAGAAGATAAAGAAGGAACCTTTGCAACGCATGTCTATGCCTACAAAGGAGTCCCCAATCATCCCTACCAACCTGGAGCACAGGGGTCTTTTGACAACGGCACAATTGGTCGTTGCCTTTGGTTCGGCGTCTGATGCTTAAACTCCTTTCTGATGCCTTATGAAAAAATACGGCAAAATGGAGTCCGGCTCCAAAAAAATCAGAAAGGGCACCGTCGGTTTGGATCCCTGCAAGAAATGTGCTGAAAGGGTTCAGCTCACTTTGACGGGGATTAGGAACAGGATGGCACGGCAGGCAGTCCTTGATATCCGCGTAGGTCCGCAAGCACCCGAAGGAGATGCCAAACACGGATTGCCCCAGCTGGAAGTTCTTGCCGCCATTGCAAATCAGCCCGCTGCAATCGAGACCAGGGTCGCCTCACAGGGCCAATGCCTAGAGCCTTATAATATGACAAAAACACGAGCAACAATCAAACATCTCGCCAACCTCAACCGGCAGCGGGGACAACCACCCCCTGTCCCAGTGTTCTTGTCTTGCCCACAAAGGCCGCAGATCCCTGAAGGGGTGCAACCCGTCCGGAATGCAAATCATGGCCTCTTGCAAGCCATCCAGGCAAACAAACTCCAAACCTGCCAATGCTCGTCCCATCCGTTAAGCATTTCCCTTTACTACCATCAAGCAGTTCTCCGCTCAAATGGAACCGTCCGCCTGGGTCACCCGGGTAGAGGTTCAGCACGTTCAACACATCCCGAAAGTTCAGGCCCACCGCTGCCACACCTTGGGGAAGGACCAGCAAGACACACAGCTGCCGCTGGGATGTTCAATCTATGTGGCCAGGGTCAACATGCAACACCAGCACAGGGCCCCAAAACACAAAAGACGCCAACCACCTGCGAGTTTGCGCGCAATGCCTGCCAGCAAATATGGAAACAGGGACCCCTCTGAAAAGTCGCCTCCAACCAGTTTTCACATCCCCAGCAAGACTGGGTGGTGTCCTGCCTCCCTTTTCACGCCCTAAGAAACTCGTGCGCCAAGTGCTGCGACTGTGCGAGAGAGAGAGAGAGAAACTCTGTCTTTGGATGACGTGACGAGGAACCATGCTGGTTGACCAGTGGGTGGGGCCACACCCTCTTCTAGGCGGTCATTTGTGCCACTGACTGCTTTCCAGAAAAACGAAAGGGTGAAACCTGGACCTCTGGGCTAACAAAGAAGTGGGTAAGAGTGAGGATTTGGTCAGATTCCGGTTCTGGTCAACAGGCGATGCCACTTCAACACTCCCTGCTTCTTGTGTCTCTGGGCATCGCCACTTACAGATTGCAGTGGACGCAGGACGGCAATATTTTGTTTGTTCAAAGTACCCCTTCACTGGAAAAAACCTCCACAAGACAGGAAAGTTTTGGAAAACTACATTCCTTTGGGGAAGCCCTCTGTCCACTTAAATGGCCACACTCCTGCAAATCAACAGAACTCCGAAACTAGCCATTTTAGAGAGGAATCTCCTCTCGGGAGACCCAACTGCAGGGGAGTAAACTTGCCAGCAAAGAGTAAGCATCCATCTCTAAACCCCAAGTAAAAGGTTCTTTTTCCAGTATTGGGGAAGAGAGGAGCTGGAGCTTCCCTCCACTCTCTCCTCCACCACTACTGCCGTCGCACCCCCCCAATTGTCTGCTCCAAATGTTCTTTGTACAGGGCTCCTTATATTTCCAACCTCAAAACATCACCCCCACCATGGGATTCTCACCATTCATGGGCCAAAAGGTGATGTTTAAAACCAAAAAGGAAACCGCTGTTGTACCAGTCCAAGGCGCGGAGTGCCTCGGAGCTCTCGCTTCTGCTTTGGGGTTCCAGGTGCAGGGAGCTGAGACTGCCGCGGCTGGGCAGGGCGAGCCTCGCGCAGGGGTTTCTGGCGTCAGGCTGTGCGGTGGGCTTGGGTTTTGGGGGACAACTGGGATGGTAGACTTCAGGCAAATGGCGCAATCATCCAAATTGGAAGAACAAGCGGTTCAACTGTCAATTCGCATTGGAAAAGAGAGGAGCCAAACTGAAACGTCGCTTTGACATGGTGGATAATGGCCGTGCGGCACGTTTCTGTGCCAAAGTGGTTGATTCCTGTCCGCGTGACTTGAATTGAAAGGGGAAGGACCCTTGTAGCACAAATCGTGGGCCTTCCAATTTCTGACACCTCTTGCAGGTTCGGGGCCGGCTTGCAGGAAAGAAGCAGCTTGGCTTGGCTCGAAAAGAAGACCCCACTCTCAACAGTCGAAAGAAAAATGCATGGCGAAAGCAACATTTTCTAGTGGTTGACCTACCTCAACACCAACCCCTGCTTTGGGTGCTCGCAGGGCAATGGTATATGTGTGCACATGTGTGCACCAATCATTTTTGCACGTGTTCCAAGCCAGCTTTGGGCCACCCGCCGTTCAAAAAATGTTTAACCGTCTTTTGCTTAAGCAACTTCCTCTTGGCCTTTTGGTACCCCTGAAAGAACGCCAGGGCCTGGCTTTGTCTTGCTTCATCAAATTTCGCCCAACCCCGCCAGCCCGTTCCATTCCTAGCCAAGCTGCTTCAAAGGCCACTGAGGTCCCGCGGAACTGCGCTGCAGCCTGGCGCGGTTCACGGCTCTGATGGGCATGGATTTTCTTCGAGACTCAGGTGTCATGTGGAGGAAACCCGAACAATGGTTGATAATCCTGTTCTCTCTTTTGAGGAGCATTTATTACCTTTGTTTGCCGAATGCTTAACATATTTGAACTTGAATGAGTCCTAGCAGACCATCTTCCTTTGAAAATATTTGAAAACACAAGCCAGATGTGGACAAACAGGCCAGGGGCCGTTAAATCTGGGCTCCCTTCCAACCAAAAAAACACAAAACCTCACACCAAAAGGAATTGAATTGTCCTTCCCAGGTGATGTTGAAAACCACCCTGCCAATGAGCCCTGCCAAACTTTCCTTCATAGCCCTGCCCCCCACCCCAAACCCCGTCGCACAAGCGCGCAATTTCCAATTGCCTCGGAACAACGGGCTCGCCATCTACACGAAGGCAGCACTCCTGGCGCAGAGGTGTCTTTTGCGAGGGAACCCTTATTGAGGTGCTTTTGAAGGGAAAGCACAGAGAGAAACTGCGCATTTTGTGGGTGCCCCATGCTCTAGACAAGCCATGGTGTCCTCCTTAAAGGTGAATTGTGTGCGAAGACCCGCATGTGGAATTGCAGAAGTTTTCACTTTCCTGCGCTGTATTGTGGATTCCATGCTGAGAAGGATTCGTTGCTCCTTCTGTTTCCACTCTGAGTGTCCGGCGGGTATCAAGTGTTGAATGGCTCAGATTCAGGTGTTTCGTTTAATCTTTAAGAGGACCGCAGGAACAGAATCCATTGTGTATAGCTCATTCAGCACCTGGCAAGACATTTGACATGGGTGCCAAAAACAACAAACAAGATCAATTCGAACATTGGGATGACCACAAACAATGAAAGGCTGACATAGGCAAGAAAATTAGCCATACCTCGGGAAAAACTCGCAGGATCATGGCTTCCTCCTTCATACATAATCTCCTTTACCCACAAAGGGAACGTGTGTCAGGAAAGGTCTTTTGTTCGGGGCACGCGCCCAGCCCTTCCATAGATGTGGGAATATACAGGGTGGACCGTGATAGCATTTGCATAAAGAAGCCGTGTTCCGCACCTGCAACATTGAACAGTGACATCAACTTCGGAATGATCTGGCTCCTTGTGCCATGTTTGTTGAAGAACAAGAACAACTTCTCTTTGCTCTGCAACTGCTTCCAGCAAACGGGAAGCACCTTGGCTTTGAGCTGTGGAGTGTGTACTCCGAAGTGGCATGGGGCTCCAGCCACAATCTCAGGCTGCGATGTTCTGCACAACAACATCTTCCGTACTTTGTCATCGGAGGACCAAACTAATCAGGGGTCCTTGCCTTTGGAGTCGGACATTTGATCCCATTGTGTACGTAGGGAATTCCTCCAACTGCGACGGTCCTCTGGATTGATCCGAAGCAACATCATGAATGAGGCACTGCTGCCGGCATCCCCTCAAAACCCGCCAAAATAGCCCCATCCGAGCCTCCTCTACGATCTGCTTGACATGAGGCTGACCCTCCTGGTCTCGCTCCCGTGATGTGGGATGTTGGTAGCCAGGAGTCATACTACATGTGCTACAGGCATTTCTTGAAAATCCAGTATCCCTCCAAATAGCAGAGTTTCAGGCCTTTCTTTTCAAATGATCCACCGAGGAGGCGCCTAGGTGTGGAAAACTGCATGGAATCCCAGAATTCATCCACCTCAAGTCCATTCAAGTTGAAGGTTGAAGGCGGTGAGGATCTAGGCGCAGAAGACAGTGGTGACAAACCCACAAACACGGACACAGGGTTGACTATAGAGGGCTCATTGATTTGTGCAGAAATAGAGGTTTTCGTTGGTGTCTTTTCGACAATGCAAAAAAGGAATGCCTTTGCTTGGACAAAGAACCGGTGTCCAAGCAGAACCAAAGGTACGGTCAAATATTGCGTTAACGTGAGATGTCAACTTTGAATCTGTCTGAACCCCCGTACTCATCAAGAACGGATCAAATGACTTGCGCAGCACCCCCAAGCACCCTTGCTTCATTTGAATGCGCTACGAATCCGAGAGGGACAATTGGTGAACATTAGGATAATGATATCGATATGTGGTCAACAAGTTTCCCCCTGGCCACCTGCACAAATATGAATGGTTCCTGCCAGGCTATGCGATGATCGCGGGCAAGCGGCAATTTGACAAGACATGAATGTCCAAGGATATATGCCAACCCCCTCAACCCCCAATAATGTAGACAAACGATATATGCCAACTCCCATCAACCCCCAACAGTCAAGCGCCTGTAAAACTGTCAGCACTGAATACCCTGAAAGGGTGAAGCTTTTGTAAGGGCGCCAAGGCCGCCGATGAGGGGTCAATAACTTCTGACAGGTCTACACCAGGGTTCACAGGAAGGTCGACATGCGACATGGCTTGACGGCCAGGTGTCAAGGAGAATGGACAAAAACACGTTTCAACATCAACCTTCTAGGCTTCCCTTCAAGAATCATGAGTCGCGTTCCTGTTTATGGAATTTTAATGAATTTTAGTTTCGGCTTCCAACCTTTGGATCCATGTCTCACCCGTGTTGGCCAATACGTGTGCTCCCTAACCCATCGTTGACCCATACTTGACCCCTGGCTGCCCATGTGTGACCCATGCTTGGACCCTGTTTGATGTTTGCCCAATGTTTACCTATGGTTGACCCACTGTTGACCCACACTTGACCCAAGTTTCGCCCAATTTCTCCCCGCCCCCCCGAGTCCGGTGGCAGGTCCACCACCGTCACATTGACGCCCTCCAAGCGCGCGGACCGCGCCATGGCCCACACGCCGCTGTGGCAGGGATCGAAGCCGTCCCTCGGGTGTCTCTTTGATGGTACCCCTGAAATTATTTTTGGCAGAGGAAAAGCACCCAGGGCCCGAAATGCCTGAGAAATGGGCGGCTTTGTGAAGAAGATTGGGGAAGAAAATGCCCAACCAACTCTGGAAGGTCCAAGTACCTTCTAACGATGTGCTTCGGGGGTCAAACTGGGCCCCCAGAAAACAGAACTTCAACTTGAGGTTTGTCCCAAGAACTGAAGTTGCTGTTGTTTGTCCCAAGAGGTTCCCCATGGGGGCCGCCCGGATAACCTCACGCCGGCTGAGGCTCGCATCCAACTTGGGCGTCTGCGCCCCAGAGGTCGCCAGCACCACACTAGCGCCGCTCTCAGCCGCTGCCTGCAGAAGTTTGAGGCCTCGGGTCTCGGTCGACACGTCATCCAAGTTGATCTGATCAAAGCTCACCGGAAGGACATGAGAAATTGGTGATCACCTTTTTGGTGATGTTTAACCAACAAAAACAGGGAACTATGACAACCCCTGTTCCGGCGCCGGCGATCCCCCCCGCTTGCAGTGGACACGCGCCTTTCTCCAGCGCATCCAACTGATCGCCCTCTGCCAGCAGGGCTGCAGTGCGCGGCTCTTGACCTGGTGAGTGATCAGGTGTGTCAATAGGGTAGATTGGGACCGAAGTTGCTCCCACGACCCTGGCACAAGGGAAATATGATCCCCGGAAAAGGGATGGAAATCTGCTGGAGGCTCAGAGCAACCTTGCAACCCTTGGTGGGTGATAAGTTTTGAGCAGATTGAGGGGAGACTCCAAGGGGGAGGAAGTCAAGATTGGGGTTCCGGCCAACAAGGGACTCAACCAAAAAGGATGTGTCATTCCAAAGGGCAAGGGCTTGTTGGGCTCCATGTTGACTTGCTCATCAGGCGTATTGTCTATCCCTCATTGGTTTGTTGGTGTGGAGGTCCTAGATTACCTTCTCAGCGGCCTTACCACTTGGCTTCAAAAGGAGCTACCTTCGAAAAGTGAAGGACCCCCTCTAGAAAGGGATGTAAACCAATCCTTGGCTTCGTATGCCATGCGAAACTTGGACCGAGCTGCACAGCTTCTGCGTGGTTGCGTCAATGTCAGCGCTGCAGCTGCAAGCTTCTGGCTTCCAAGACAAGGAACTCAATAGCCACTCCTTAGCTTGAGCTTCCCCAGTGCTCGTTTGGGTTCGTTGAGGGGTTACACCAAAATTACACCGCCAATCCAAACTACCAAGCAAGGAGCAACTGCCAAATGGTCTCTTCCTGGTAGCGACAAAGAGAAACAGCCTCTTAGGCAGTCTTAGTCTGAGCCCTTCCCGGTACAAAAGCAACACGTAGCATTCCGAGCTAGAACGCCAGAAGAAACAACTGAGCGCTCACTTGGGTAGAAAGCTGGCTCAACAAAGAAGATCCCGGAAAACGGGACACCCCGGTGCGGCGCTGATAATGCAGAGCCAAACTCATGCTTCGCCAAGAATCAGCCTTCTCTTTGGAGCAGCAAACCAGTGCAGGCACCTCCATAGTGGCATCTTCTGTAGACGACACCCAGGAAACCTCATAAGTCACGGCTTCTTCCTCTTCGCTCTTTGGATCCTGCGGGATTGTCTGCAGGTGTTGACATGATCGTTCTCGCTTGAAGCAGCAGAAAAGGTTCTGTTCCAACGCCAACTGCAAAACCTCCCGGTACTTGAGTGCAACGTAGTTTTGCAACGGCCCTGGAGCCATGATTAAACTTCAAACAATTTCAGAAGGATCCCGTATACATCAAGCTTCAAAAAAGGCTACAAGGGGGCCTAACCTTGCAATACGAAAGACCGATTTGCAAGGGGTGCCAGTGGGAGCGAATGCGTTTGTCTGTTGTGGGGGAACTCGCAAAACTCGTGTCGACCAAATGGGGATCCTGTTTGGGTATGTGTGGGTTCTAAACAAGTGGTGCGTCAACATCCCGTCCGGTTCCGGCTGCTCGCTGGCCACATAGCGCAGTGTGACCCGACTTAGCCGGGCTACTAGCTGACCTTCCGCGGAGATTTCCACGCTGCCTCGGAGCAAGAAACAACTTGGGTGTTCAACCCACTTAGTAAGATTGCTATACCCACGGTTACAAGGAAAGTAGTATGTTTCGTTCAAGCAATGCCTACGCGAGAAGCCTACGAAAAGGGTGAAACAACATGAAATGGCAGCCTGCTTGAAAAGCCCACACGAGCAACCGCCAAACCAACCGAATTGCGTTTGCAAACTGCAGGCCCTTTCATTTCATTCAGAACTGCTGCTCGGTTGCTCTCTTCAGAGGGCGGGGGGGTCCATGGTGACATCAACAGGCAAACCAATCCCAGAACGATGAACTGGGCGAACACCAGTTAAGTTGTGTCACTTCTCAAACAGGTGGCAGAAACTTCCCAGAGATTGCCCCAAGTTTCTTTCGTTGCCTTCTCACACGTTGTGTTTGGTCATCGACCAAAGCGCCACTCAATCAGCAATGGCAACCACGCGATATTTGAGCCAGTTCGAAAGGGCACAGGACCCCAGTCCTGCAACCCTTTCAACATATCTTCGGAACTTGTTGTGCCAAAGCAACCATCCCAATTTCCCTTTCCCCCTAGCCCTTTACCCCCTTGACCCTCTCAAACCTTCAAAACCTCCCCCCCTCCATCCCCTGCCGCGCGCCTTCGGCCACGCCCTCCGCCGACTTCACCACCGCCGCGGCCGTGAACTCCGTGGCCGTGAGCTCCGTGGGCGTCGCCACCACGCAGCTGCCCACGGAGAAGGGCAGCCAGGCCTCCGCTCAAGTCGCGACGGGCGGATCCGGAGGCTGGGGTGGGCACGGGGGGGGGGGAAGCGGGGAAGGGGGGCGGCTGGCGCTTCAGGTGTTTGCAACGCGCGGACTTGTTGATGTTAGTTGGAATAACTTTGGAAACGAAATGGATGAGGGTTGGGGAAATGGTCACTAGAGAGGATCATAATTTTGATCCGCCTTTGTAGATTGAACACCGTCTGGTTCGTAGAAGGTGAATCACCCCTGCGCTTAGTTCTACCTTATCTCACTGCTCTTGGTTTTTGTTGCAACTGTCAATTCCTCTAAGTTGGGGAGTGCCAGAGACACTTTCGGGCCACGCTTCGAGGGCCAGCAAGCAAAAGCATTTTGATTGGAAGGATCAAACATGAAAAGCACGTGGCCAGTTCTCAGGAATGACATTCACCGACCGACTGGGTTCTGCAGGATCATGCCCATATTTGCTACCCCCGGGGACAACAAAAAACAAAGTGCTAGTTTCCTTGAGAGGCGACCACAATGGGATGGGCAAAATTCCTTTGCTCGCCACCCCAGAGCCTACTTTGCATCGTCCCCATCCACTTCCATCTGCTTTCCGTGTGCTGGACGACCAACTATTCCATGGGAGTGGATGGCAGGGTACAATAACCCAATTGTCCAGTGACCTGGTAGCAAAAGCGAGCCCTTTTTTTCGGGTTGCCTATGTTTAGTCGGGAAGCCAGCAAACAACAACGGAAAAACAGGGGTGGAATGCACAGGAAACACCAGGAGTAAGCATCCCTCGCCACTGGGCCGGCCTGCGGCGTCTCTGAGGCCGACCCCACGGCCAAGGTCAAGAGCTGCAGCGCCCCGTCCAGGAGCCCCGGGTGGAAGTGTCCAAGGCTCTGCTCCCAGGGCTCTGCAGGCGCCAAGCCCAGCCGGGCCAAGGCATAGACGCCTCAGAACTCCGACTGCGCCAAGCCCGGGAGTTCAAAGCCGATCCGAGCCGCCGGAAGTCAAGGAACCCCCCAAAAAAAAAACGGGAGACCGCACACACCCCAATGGCGTGATGTGTGCCTACAGGCTTTGTCTACGTACCGGCTTCAATGCGATCACCAAAGTGGAACAATAGACACCAGTTGCGCTCGTGGCACCGTCGGTGCTCATGGACCAAGAGCGGATGCTTCTAAAGCTTGGCCCGTAGTGAAGCCCGCACCTCTCCAGCATCCTGGCCGATCAATCTTGGAAGCCTTTCAAAAGCCGTGAGTGAGGAACTTCTGGGGTAGAGAGGCAAAACACACACCCCAACCTTGCAGGAAGAGAGATGCCGTATTGTACAGAAGTGCTGCTTGTAGCTACCAGGTACGCAAGGGGTATAACATATATATATATATATACAGAATTTATGTTGACCGTTTTGCAGGTTTCTACCACCCCCTCTTTCATCACGGGCCCCACAAACAAGCCCGATGAAAACCCGAAACCGTTCAGGGCTCACATTTAGGGCTTTGGGGTTCTAAAGCCCCAACCGGTTTGGGCATTAAAGCGCTTCAGATCTCCCGGTCCCGTAGGTGTCCGCAGGCTCCGAGATACACTTTGCTTTCCATTCCTCCAGGCTGTGGAGCATCGATCCTTTGGCTTTTGGCCCTCCCACCAATCCTCGGGCAGAAGAACCAAAGCTCAGGTTCATTTCGCTTGGGGCTTAGACCACAGGAACTCCGTGGCTATATCTTGAGGGTCCTCTATGAGACATGACCCAAAAGAGATTTCCCAATACAGCCACGCGTTTGTAACTCCAGGGTTCTGAATCAGTGGCAAGGCTTCCGAATACCCATGATCATCTGATAGACAGACTGCGGCCTCACCAGGCAACGGGCACCCTCGTGAACCCGCAATCCATTCGACCCAGCACAAGCTTCACCAAGGCTCACCGAAGTTGGCAGAAGTGAAGGTATCTTTCAATTCAATTTGGGTGACTCTTTTAGAGGACCCCCCCAAGGAAATGTGCTTTTTCCTTTTGATTTAAAACCGCAAAAAAGTGGTCCCCTCAAAAAACAAAAACGACCCAGGCAGGAGCCAGGGTCCAAGAGAGCTCGGATTTGTCGCCTCGCCAAGGCTCTGGCAAGCCTGCACTGCGCATGAATCTGCCCTTCGGTCTTGGAGCGGCTCAGGATCTGCAGGCCCTCCTGCGATCAAGGTGCAAACATCTCCATGGTGACCCTAGTGACCCTGGTGTCCAGGGTCTTCTTCAGAGTGTCCCCCCCCCCCCAAGTTTCCGAGCTCTTGTTTAGGTTCTTCCTAGCGTTTAGGGCTTTCCTGTTTTAACGGGGATGCGGAGAAGAAAGGGCAAGCGAATCCAATAGTCGCGACCCATGCTTGGATGTTGCCAGCTGTATGCCCGGATGGATCCACACCACGCCCCGTTGGCCCGGCCGCTGCGCCTGCTCCAACATGACCTCTGTCGTGAGAGGGTCATCGTGGGGCATCACGAAGGCTCTCTGAAAGGTAACATCCTCGCCAGCAACCCGGAAACCGGCCAATCGAAACGGGCCTAGCAGAACATGGGCCGGCCACTTTCGGTGATAGTGGTTCGGTCCCTGAGCATGACTGCCTTACTTGGGGACTACCTTGACCATTTACAGAAAGTGGCAACCTAAAACATAATTATCCACAATACTGGAACAGTAACTCTTGCAGTTGAAGTCTGAAAGGGCCAACGACGGCGTCCCAACTGTTGTGGTCTGACTTCATAGCCACATAGCCTGGTACGGCCCTGAAGATGAACGCAGGGCTTGACACCAGGAGCTGCAAACACACAGGTGCACTAATTTCCATAGGGATCCCAGATGCCACGTCCATTGCCTTGTCTCCTTCTCGATTCAATTTGAGTCATAAGCTCCCTTATGGGGAGGGAACAACTTATTCCGTATGTATTGCTTCGAAGGGACTGGAGCCCTCAGGGTGCCTCCGGACCCCCCCCCCCAGCCACGGGTGCTCTTTGGGTTCCCGTGCTCAGTTGCAAGAGAACCTCTGGGCTCGTGGTGTGTGTTGCAATAGGGGACCCCTGCCAAAGTTGCAATCTGCACGTCACAAGAAAATTCGAGGGATCCCACTAATGAGGGCTCAACATGGGAGGGTCCTTCTTTGTATTCTCCAGACATCTCCAGACCATTCAGCATCCGGACTAGGCTTAGCCAGTGAAGTTCCATTTCGCGTTTAACCGCCGCTCCCTCCTGGAGCTCAATGAAGCGGCCCCCTGGCAAGGGCCTCAGCACCGGAGCCCTTCCCTTTCGGCGGGATAAACAAAGCGTCAATCCGCTTTTTGCCGTCCTTCGGGGGGAGGGTCAAGGGGGGGAGGACATTAGCATGGGCGATTTAGCACCCAGACTGAGGCTTGCGTAAAAACGAGTTTGGGATCCCCGGCGAATGGCTGGCACAGCGTTCTTGTATCCGGGAGCTTACTGGTTGTCTACCAAGATTAACATCAAAATGAATAAATAAAACAAAAACAGACACACACACACACACACACCCACCCACACACACACACACACACACCCTCCCGGCCTTGAACAGAGGCTGGCGAACAAGCACAGCCAATGGCCGGGCCGCCGGGCGATTGTGTCTCCAAATGCGCTGCGGCCATAAGCAGTAAGTGCGAGGCGCCGGGGAGCACGGCTTCTCCCAAGACCTCGCAGAGTTGCTTGGCGCAGAAATCCTGAAAGCAAGGGACATCTTGGTGAGTCTAGCATTCCGCCTATTGCGAAAGAGTCGTGGTGAGTACTTTGGAAACAAGTCAACTTAAATTGCTGCTAGCCAAACTATACGTTTGGACCCAGTTGTTTCACCCATTGAAAGCTATGTGACCGTATTGATCCGCTGGATGTTGCACAATCAACTTGAGAAATTGTCAAAGCAACACCATTGAGCGAATGTTGGGCGATGATTCACAGCGTGAAAGCCTGTGTTAGATAATCCAGTTGGTGCCCGGCCCATTGCTGACACATGCCCGGGCCGCCACTGATATGACCCAGACTTGCTGATGAATTGCAACAAACACACGGCGATTGGCTTCCACTTGCCGGTGTTTAGATCTAGGTTTGCGTGTGTCGGGATCAACCGGACCAAATGCCCATGACCCCTCGTCAAGGATTCATGTGCATCAAACAAGCGGGAATCCCTCTGTTGACAAAATGGTCATAAAGCTCCGGTCCAATATCCAAGACGAATCTTGCAGTGTTGAACTGAGGCGTAGACCTAAACTTGATAATCACACGTGGGGTGTAACTTCAGAGACTAAGTCGGCTGTTGGTGGCAGCGTCCAACCGCAACGCGAGTACTTCGTTGCATCACCCTCAAGTGCTCATCATAATGTCTTGTCGTGAAACCATGGAAGCAGCAAAACTGTAATCTTTCTGGCTGTGACTGGAAAGGGCGCGCAAAATGTTGCCTTTGATACTAAATGCCGCCTTTGACAAATCGGCTGAGGGCACGGCTGACTCAATGCCAACACCACCAGTCTGACCCCGAGGCTGCTACGCAATGAAGGTTACGGGGTTCAGATCGTTTGGCGAAGCCATTTAACTGCGAGCTTGCCCCTATTCACAGCCTCTTCCTCCAAAGCGCCCTCCAGGTCACAATTCTCCAGAGCCAAATGCTGGCTTGCATTTACCCGTGGCACAAAGCTCTTCCAACATGACCCCAAAGGAAACCCACTTTGACCCGATGAAAAGCGATATTTAAAATGACATGCTTGCAAACATGCAAAGATCTTAGATTCTGTAATGGCGGCATCTTGCACAACAACGGGTTTGGGGGGTGAGGTGTGTGGGGGGCCTGCTCCCACTCTGGGCTTCCCGTGCCCGGTGCTGGCGGAAGAGCCGCGCCGCCGCAGATCCGTCCGAGTCCGAGAGCGGACACTTGGAGCGGAAGCACTTGGACTCGGCCTGGCGAACAGGAAATGATTTGAATCACTTCCAGGTCCTCCAGTAGAGAGATTAAGGGTACCCTTTCTTCTGTAGTCTATTCTAGTAGGGGAACCCTCTCCCAAGAAAGGGCAAAAGGGCACACTGGGGGCCCCAGACTTGTGTCCTTGCATGTTCGCTCATTTTGCTATGTCTTGGTTTTGTGTTTTCTTGTTTCTGTTGTTGTTCCAATATGTTTTTTGAGCTTGAATTCATTGTGCTGGTTTGTTCGTAGTTCTGTGTTTGCTGAATTGTTGTTAGTTGTTGTTAATTGTTGTGATTGTCTGTTTCACGGCTTCTTTCTTGGGTTATGAGTTGGTTTGTCTCTGTGTTTACTTACTTGTTGAAAACTTCAATATTTGTTTGCGTGCTTGCTTCGTTGTTTCCTTGTGTGTGTGTGTGTGTGTTTTCTTGTATTTATTTCTTTGCATCTGTTTTGCTCGCTTCTTTGTTCGTCCGTTTGTTGCCGTGTGGTTGCTGTCTTTGCCATGGCCCCTGCCCCTGAAGATCCTTGGTCCTTTGGCCAAGCCTCTCAGTGTTCTAGTGTTCCGACTTGTGTCATTCAACATCAACCGAACGGAAACTCGTTGAGCTGGTCGCATGGCAGCCACCATCGTGCTGTAACCCCAGGGGATGTTTATGGGAGGCGTTGGGATCCCAAAGGTCCAAATTTCCACCTGGACTTGCTTTCAGGCTTCAGGTGGGGGTCCCTTCATCATGGGTTACTTACCCCCCCCCGCTCCTTGAGGCCTTGCTAACCTTAGGCTCAGTGCTCACTTGGCACTCTGTAGCACTTCAAACCCAGTTTTGCCTTGCCTCCGGGAAACGTTGCCGCCAGGTATGAGAAGACTAGTGTAAATGTAACCAGGAACAGAACATCAAATGTAGAAGATGGCCTCTTTCCAGCAATTTTGTGGCAATGCTGAGGCCTTACTGAGGCCTTGCTGAGTTTAAGGCTTTACTGAGGCCTTAGTAAGGCCTCAAACTGGCGCCTTGAGCTGTGCGACATTGGTGGTGGATGAGTACTCACCTACTCATCTCCAAGATTGATGGGTTCGTTACTCCCTCCATTGTGGGAATACAACTCCTTCCTGCTCTAACACAAATGCACAGTTCCGCAAAAGGCAGTCATTCTCAGCAAGCTGAGTGAGAGGCTAAAATTGGGGGACTCCCCTTTCGGGGCGGGGGGAGGGGGTCTAGGTGTAAGTACTCCATGGCTTGGATCAAGCCCTTCCTCTGAGGCCAAAACCTGGAAGCCAGTCCAACATGCCACGAAGCAAAATATAGTTTTCCTCAGTCATGAGCCCTTTTAAGGAGTTTTAAACAAGTGCGTATTCAGGCAACCACGACACATGCTCCTTTGAATCTGGTTGCAAATTTGAACCGGGTCTTAAGTCACTAAGTAGGAAAGGGAAGCGACACACTGCAGGCAAAGCAACAGTTCTCTTGGTTCTGGACACTACGGTCGCTTTCTTGTGCCCCCACCTTCCATTGGCCCAGCAAGGGATGCACCAAGGGCTTCACCTGATCGCGTCCTAGTTGCCCTGGTTGGGAACCCTTGAACTTTGTCCTTTAGTGAGAACCTGTCATAGGGGAACATTGGTACTGAAGGACCGCGGCCAAGGGGGCCATATTTAGCACGATGTGCCAAAACCCGAGGGCTGATCACGATGACACCCATGAGGAAACACAGTGGGCATGCAAGCAAAGAGCCGAGCACTTGGCTCAACAGAAAGAAAGCGGGCGTAACAAAGCAACACCACTCCTCTGTGTGTATGAGTCAACACCATTGATAGCATGAACGCCCCCAAACAATTGAAAGCAATCACCAACTCTCATCTTGGCGTGTCCAGCCGGTATATGTCCAACGAGCAGCTGCTAGAATCTGACTGAGAGAAGCAAGTATCTCTTTGTTGGGCTTGATTGGCGCGCTTGAGCCTTTAGCAGACTCGCGTTTGGTATAGCTTCCCTACCAGTGGTTCGATGGTGCAGAAAACAAGCATGGGTTTTGCCCGCAACGGGTCAGCTGCAACAGCAAACAAAGGTGAACTAGTGAACCAGTTGTGTCATGTGTCCAAGCAATAAGGACCTCCTTTTGGCTTTGCTGAAGATGAATTAAACATAGACAAGAACCAGTCGCAAGGGTCCGTCTACACGGCCGCTACCCAAACACAAGCCTCTTTCAACATGGACAACTGTCTCGCGAGCCATCTTCCCGAGCCAAATTTACATTTGGCCCGGTGCTTCTTTCAAAGTGGTGTCACAGAACTTGACATTTTCCTGACCCAGGGTCTCACTGCCCAATGGCCCAAACTCTGCCAAGTTTCGAGATTCCGGACCAACTGAAACACATGACCAATGGGGAATCCAAGCTTCTGGGCAGGATTGATTGACAAAACGATCCAAGAACCGCTATTGACAGCCCCCCCGTTGAAAGTCTTGCCGAATCTGATCAGAGCCGCCAGAGGTTCAAACATCGGAGAGAGGCGCGCCCGCAGTCCACGGAGTCAACCAACAAGGCAAACAATACTTTCATGGTTCAATGGTTCAGTGATTGAGGCTCCACGTGTCTAGTATACATGTGTATATATATATATGTATTGATTAGCTATGACTTTACTGTGCTTTTGGCTATGCAAATGCATAGTGCGCCTCGCAGCATGAACACATGTATTTTTCCCCAAATGGGAGTTGGCTTGTTGTGGCTTCTTGAGAAAAGGGCTCCGCAAACCCAACAACAAGGGCTCCCCCAAAACTTGTTGGGAAAACATGTGAGTCACAATCAAAAACTGGTATTAAAATGTTGCACCCAAACCAATGTAAAGAACAACAAAGGCGGCCGCAACTGATTATGGCTGGGACTTTCCCTTACTAACCTTCACCTACCCGGGTTTTGATTACGGCGCATGTGCCTCCAAAAGGCCTCCCCGAAAAACCACATCCACACATTGGGAGTCCCTTGGCCGAAGCTTTCCGGCCACTGCGCAAGCTCGGGGCTTCTGACCCACGGGAAGCAGCTCGGCTGCAGTGCCGCTACGGCGGCCTGCGCTTGGTTTCGTTTCAGTTCGCTTCAGCGTCCTTTCAGTTTGCCCGAAATGCCCAATGGGTGGTTTCTGTTTACCTAGACTCTCCATAACCCTTAAACAAATGGGTCTGGGACCCCAGAATTTTGGGTAGTGATCCCATTTGTTAAGGGTCGTGGAGACTCCAGGTAGCTTCTTTTTGGCTTGCTCAACTCCTTGGTTTGCATTTGACACCATCCAACAAAGGTTTCGCCGAGAAAAGTCATACATGAGAACCCTGGGGCTAAACTGATCCCTTGCAAACGTAATGTGTTGTAAGTCCCCTAGCTACTCTCGACTGATGTGCTAGGAAAACATCAATAGTGCTGCCTGGCCAAATGCGCAATGGCAACAGGAAGTACTGGGATCTGCATATATATATATACATACCACTATATACCTACCACAACATGACACAACAAACACCTTTGCACAGGCACTAGGTTGAGTCGGTAAACAGGGCATGCAACCTTGACTGTTTGTGCAACCTTGACCTGTTTGTCTATTCGGGATGCTGTTCACTGGCAACTGAATTGGGGGTTGAATCCAGTCAGATTCGATTCGCCCTTCAAGGACAAAAGTCAAATGCTCACTTTGTCGCAAGCAGCTCACACCATTCAAGGACAAAGCCCCAATGTCGCCAGGGGCCAAACTGATTCTAGCTGTAGTTTCAGGCTGTGTTGCTGGCGACTGTGTGTAAAAAACTATATGCTCAACGCATATTCAAGAAAGGAACACTTCCGAATGCTTGGATTCCCAAACAGAAATACCCACAGACAGCCCTCGGATTGGATCTTCAATCCGGCGGAAGCGGCTCTCGGGCCGTCCACCAAGGGTGTCATGCTCGCCAACTCAAGGGGTGCTGGGTCGTGCTTGAATAATGACTCCAAAACATGAATTGAGGGGTCCCCAAGTAAGAAACCATCAACATGCTGAGCTTACTCTGGCCCCAGGTGAGCTTGCCAGAAATTAGGCAGGACCATTAAATTGACATATTCCAGTGGCTAGACCTTTGAGAAGTCTCTTCATTTTCTGGAACATGTGGCCAAACGGTAAACCCCGCGAAGTCTGCAGAAGTATCCCAAGCTGCACCATCCAATCAATAAAAAATGCAAGTGATCACGCGTTGAGTGGTTGCGTCTCAAACCGGATCGCACACGGAACACTAAAGGCGCAAGAAGTCAATCTGTCCTGGGCATCTGAGTCACAGTCAACACCTGGTGCTGAAGGAGCCTAACCAAAACATATCATAAAGAAGAATCGCAAGTGCGGCTATCCTCACCTATGACAACTTCATGTCCGTGGCTACTCGTCCCAATCACTCGTGTGTTCTTTGGTAATCCCCTTGGTCGGATCTCATGTAAAGCCAGCGAAAGAACCCTGCCTTCAGTGCCCGCGCCGTGGAAACCAGCGACTCCCCCGCCGGGCGCTCAGGCCTGAGCCGATGCGACATGCTGGTCCTCAGTAACTCAGCCGAATTGAAGGTAGCGGACGTAGCCCCAAACTGGGCTGATTGTCCTAAAATATAGTCAAGCGTGCGCATCATGTGGGACTTCTCTAAACACGGTGGGCTTTTCTTGGATAACTTCAATGCGCGGGAGATTATGGATGCTTCTCCAAATCAAGGACCCCTCCAGCGGGATGGATTGCTACAAAAACAGGATGCCCATTCAGGGTCGGGGGTGGCGTCCTCTGTCCGTGTGAGGTCACAGCATCCTAAAGCTTTTCATATACCCAAATCAGGAACGAAAGTACACATGTCCGTACAGCTGTATGGTTGTATAATTAAACGGACGAGAAATACGTGTGTCGCTAACCTGAACATGCTGCGGACGCATCAGCGATGCATGCAACAGCGGATTACAAGGCTTGTCTTGTGTTTACTCTTACCTGGCTTCCTAATCCCGAAACTCACACAACATAAATGATGGTGGTTTCTTCCTCAACATCATCTCCCCTCGTACTAGCATGGTGCATGCAACAGAGCATTGGAGTCCAGGGGTCTGTTAGTGGGAGCACTAAAGAACTCTCCTGGGCTGTTACGAATTTGGATCCCTAACCAAAACTGGGGCGCCGTCGTCCGATCTCCCGAAAAAAAAGAAGAAAAAGAAGAAGAAGAAAAAACGTAAAAACACAAAAGGGAAAAAACCGAATACACCAACAAACGGTTACACACGGCGACCGTCTTTCTCGGCGCCCACGCGTGACGGTGGAAAGCCAGAGGTGCCCAGGGGCCTCAAACGGAGCGGATCTTTGCGCATATCACCGTCACAGGGCTTATGCCCAAAGCGCGTTTGCCGGGGGAATCTTCAGAGGGCTGGTTTTTGCGGCTCTCATAACAGTGCAGCATATATGGTTTGCGCAGCTTGCGCGAAAAATATATGCAAAAGCTGGTTTAACAACTAGATTCGATTGGGTCCCCGTTAAGGGGCAGCCCCAGTGAGGTGTTTTGACCATAGTGGCTTTCCACATGGGTCGGCCTTGCGTTCTAAACGCAGAGAACCTTTTCAAACAGATCAAAACCGGCACTTGCCTCTCTGGATTAGGAACTTGAGCATGCCATGTCAACAATGAAGCGACCTTTTTCTCAGCAGTCACCTCTGGTTGGGACTGTCCCTGAACCTTCGACTCAAATGAAACATTTGACCCAAATCTCAGGCCTGGCAACAGCTCTGCCCCAGCCGCAACAACCTGGTGCGGCGCTTGGATCATTTGTGACTTGTCGAGGTCCTGAACCAAGCGCTCCCCAAGAAACCTTCATGGAGGTCGCAAAGCCTTGTGTGAGGTCCCTACAATTCGCCCAAACAAATTCTAGGTGCTCCAGTAGAGATATAAGGGTACCCTGTTTTCTGGAGTCTGTTGTAGTAGGGGAATCCCCCCCCAAAAAAGCGTAAAAGGGCACTACTGGGGGACCTAGCATTCCAACTGGGTTTTGTTTGCTTCAACACCAAAAGGGGTCGATCCCAAGCGTCATGGTAGGAGCTGTTTTTGTCAAAGTTTGTAGCGGCCCGAAGGGCCAACGACCCAAATCAAAAGGTTGCACGGTCCCTGCATTTGCACCCGCAAACGAGCCAGGCACAGAACCCAAGTCGGACAAGCAGAGTCATTTGCTGGGAACCTTTTGGTTTTTATTGGGGTGGATGGTTTGAGCAAGTTCGGGTGGGGTGTTGTTTGGGGTGGGTTTAGGGTTGGTTTAGGAATCGTTTGGGGTTTGGTTTTGGTGGGGGCGGGGGTGTCGGGGTTCAAGGAGTGAAAGGGGTGGTCTGGGCACGGTACTGGACAGCATCCCCAGCATTGCCAGCATAATCCGCATTGATGCAGATGATGTGGGGGAGGGCCTTGTGTATGGGGACTGGAGCATATATATATATATACCCACTTTTATCCTAGGTGGGCTGGTTGGAAGTCCTGGAAACCTTGATACAACCAACTGACCAGGTCCCCGTTTGGGATCCTGTGCTTTTTGCCAGGTCAGCTCTTCAGCAAATCAACCCATGCCGGCAGCGCAAAGGGCGCGGGCCTGAGCCAAGCAAATCATGTTGTGAGCATGTTGATTGAAATCGAAGCGCTTGCTGGACACGGCAAAAACACATGGGGGACGTATGCAACCACCAACCAATTGGTTAGGTGTTCCAACCATTCACAATCATGGCCACATGACAAACAGTTTCATGCAACCTGGATTAGTGCTGACCATGCTGATACTACGCAAGGGAACCCCTAAAATCAATATGAACACATGAATCCCCACCAAAGGGGAAACAACCTCAGCAGTACGTAGCATGGCCCTCCGGATGAAATCGAAGTTTGCAAGTAATGGCTTTCTATGGAAGAACTCATACCTTGTATTTGCCTTGTGGATTTCAACAGTTTCTTGGTGCCCTGGTGGTCATAGAATGCAAAGGCCTTGGTAGGGAATCAGCCAAAGGACAAGCATTGAGGCCTCAGGCCCCATGAGGAAGGAGAACGCCAAAGCATGCTTGGACAGCCAGCACATGGACGGGGTCTAAACCAAAAAGTTAATCCTGGGATGGAACCACGCACTTTTGTTTTTGTTGTCGTTCTTTAAGTCACGATCAAGATTTAGCAGGCAGCTGACATCGGAAGTTGGCGAGATCCAGTCGAACTCTAAGGATTCTAAGGGCTATTTAGTGAGGGAGCCCCATTTTGCTGCCTTCACTGGAGCTGATTTGCGATCTTGATTGCATGGATCTGATCTCCTCCAGTGTTCGACTGCTCCCAGACTCGATTTCGGGAGCTGAAGGTTGCTATGATCTCCAGTAAACTGTAATGAGTGGTTCGAGGGACGCTTGTGGAAATAAGCCTAGCCAGTGCCACGTGCACGTTTCCCTTGGCACCACCAAGAGTGTACCAACACCATGAGGTGCATTGAAACGCCCTTCTCCTCCGACTCATTCGTTGACGGATCCTCTTACCCACAAATCGCAGCAACCTGACCCATCCACAACCCCAACCAAACGAATACGCCTGAGGGGATCCCGACAGGACGTGATTGGAGCATGGCCTTGTGGCAATGACAATGGGTACCTGACAAACGGTTTCTGTAGAAAATCACCTTGCAAAGGGCTTCCATCAGAAACAAAAATCCAAGAGTCCGTGCAGTTGCCAAACCTCACGGCTGGACTCCCTTGACTGTGGAAAGCAAACCAGGCCCCAAAAGAATCCGGCCGCATGTATGACATCTCGCAGGATTCAAGAGGAAACGGGAATACCTATCTATCTTTCTATCGAATTCTATTTATCTATCGTTCTGCCCATCTACCTGGGGGAAACGGCTTACTGGAACCTTCTTACGAGAACCGACTATGCACGCGGCCGATCTCTACGAAGGTGTCGCAGCCGGTAGCGTCCAAAGCTTTCATCTCGGGTGAGGCCGGAATGGGCGGCCCGGGCAAATGGGTTTGGCTTAAAACGGGGGCGGGGGCACCCTTGAAATGATTGATTTTCTTTTCGTTTCCCTTTAAACCGAGGTGGAGGCGTTTGTACGCATTAATTGTGTGTACTTCTTGAATCTAAGGCGCAGGAAGCTCTAGCCTTGAGTATGCGGTGCATCCTTCAGGCCATATCAGGTTTTCCATGGCGGATTCCAGTGACCAGTATGGTTGGCAACCAGCGGTTATCTTGTGCTTTTGAAAAGGTGGCCCTTGGTTACCTGCCATGCATATCAAACATATGGCACCTGACCCCCACCCCCTCTGAAAAGACGGCACTGAATTGGGTGTACCCGTTTCACCTTTCCCCCACAGTGCTCCTAGTCGTTGTACACCGAGGATACAGTGCCGAAGGGGACAACCACTCTCAGATTCCTCAAAGCGCCAGCTACATTTGATTCGGTCCCTCAACCGCCAGTACTCCAATTGGACTCATGGCCAGCTTGTGACGAACTGTCGCATAGGGGTGTGGCCCCCCCCAAGCTCATTATCATTTGTGCAGAAGCATGCTTGCCAAGTTGATGAATATAATATTTTCACAACAAGCAGTTTTTCTTCTTCGGCTCAGTACGTGAAAAGCTCCCTCTTTCTGGCTAAAGTGTTTGTACAACCTTCACCGCAAATTAGCATGACGGGAACTGCGAATAAGCCTAGGGATAACTTCCAAAATCTTCCCCGGCATCCGTCTTCCAGAAAGAAGCCAAACACCCTGAGGCAACGGCGGGTATTTGAAAACAATCATGACTTCATGACCACAACATGGGGCATCAACCCCCACAAGGGCCAATCCAACTCTGAAAATCCTGCGCCGCGGGGTGCAGGGCTAGTCCGCTAGGCATCCGATTCAAAGTGTTTGCCCCAGCCGGGTGTGCTCGGTTTTCAGCCCCTTCTGGGTTTGCCATGCCACAGGACAAATGCCAGTGTGTCATCCATTGTGAGCTGCGGATCGTTCCTGGGACATGACAAATAATCAGCACCAGTATACGACAACAAACTAAAACCATTGGCTTCGATCGGTTGCAATATGTCAAGGGAACATCCAACATCTACCTAGGGCTCTCAGCCTCGGAACAAGGAACTTAGATTTTAAGCAGCTCAATCCCAAACGGTAGACCAACATGCTGGGCCTAACCTGTCGCAGGCTTGCGGCTGGCTGGCAGCGCGAAACCAATGGGCCCCAACGAATGTACGCGATTCCCCAATAGGACATGTGTGAATATTGCTGGGCGCCCTGGAAAACAACACTTCTCCTACTACCTCGCACTCCCAAACAAACAGGAGAGTCACTGGCGATTGGACATAACATGCAACCAAGAAGCTTCTAAGTCCCAATCATCGCTAAGTTCCCCAGGAAACCGTATGTCGATTGCCCCCTGCGTCAAAAGGTTCAACTCGTTCTGGGTTGAGAACTCTTCGAAGCACATCTCGTGCAAGTAATGCATGTTTGCCCCCGAACAGATGAAGATCGAAGATCCAAATGGCAGCCAAGAAACAAAGACATTCACAAGCCTTGTGCCGTGCGCGTTTTTTGTTTCCAACCCGAAGGGTCGTGTTGCCAGGGCGCTGCCGCCAGGAAGTTCACAGGCGTGGCGGTGTCATGGCCTCGCAAACAGGGTCAAAGTGGATGCCGCAATTCCTGTCATGTCGAGTAAAGGGAATGACTGAACCAACGTGGAATGTTGCCAGTTACCCGACTGAAAGGGCCAAGCTGGGTGGGCCTTCGGCCTTCAGAAAGTAAGGACACTTTGTGCTGAAGAGGTGGGCACTGATCGATTTTCGCAAAACATGAAGCTTAAAGGTCCAGGGAAAGAACAACCAAGATCTTTGCACAGCCGCGTTTGGCAAATTGGGAGCGTAACGACAACACTAGCATTAGAAAAAACTTCAGTGTTGGCATTGGAACACGCTGACACTGCCAAAGGCAATGCTGCCCTAGTTACGCTGAATATCAGCCACCCACAAACTAAATGGGTTGGATGAAGAGTTTGCAACAGTTCACAAAGTTGAAATAAGAAGCCGACCCAAAACAGAACCATCGCAAAGGAAATCCGCGGCAAGCCAAAGGCAAAAGTGAGGTAGATTGATGCAGCCGTCGTCGTAGAGGGAAAGCCCTGGAAATACTGATTGCGTACATTTATAGGTTATCAATCCCGTTCCCGGAAAACGCTAGCTTCGCCCTTTGGTTTGCAGCGTGCGCTGTGGCGCCGTTGCAGTTGTTCAAGTACGCCCGCAAACACAGTAGCCGCAGCTCACTTGCACCGGCAGCCAAAGACCGACGCGGAATCTTTCGCGAACTCCATTGCCAATCTTTCCCTGGGGAGTGAAACCCAACAGTATTGAGCAACCCTCATAAGATATAACACACATGTTCTAAATATGCACATGTTCCATTGACATGTATGCGCTTTTGCAATTATGGACACGCAACGCGCCAAGCGGCACGAATCTCTGCACCTCGCTACGTAGTTGTGACATACTTCCTTACACAACCCCAGCCCGGGTGCAGCGACCCCTGTTTGCCTTTCTCCGGCTTGTGGGGAACGTTTGCGACCTTCGAGCTGGAGATATGGAGCTGCGCTGAGAAGCGTCAAGCAGTCTAGCACCGCTTCCCCCATTGCATACCTACGTAACAAGGGCCCCCGCTACACTTGCCTTCCCTGCGACCTGTTCCAACTTTTCTTTCTCTGAAGGGCAAGCTCTCTGCAAGTTGACACTGCACAGGCATGTCCAGCAAAAGCATGCTTTGCAAAAGTCTGCTCTGCAGACAGCACCCTCGAAAAATGTCAGTGGGGTTCGTGACGGGGTATGTAACGGGGTATGTAACGAATGTCCGCCGCGGCGTTCTTACATACCCCCTCAAACAATAAATGCCACTATTGGTACGTAGATTTAGTAACTAGTACTTATTCTGTATGTACATCCACGCGGGCATCCAAGGCGGTTTGCCCAGCACGGGGCCCCGCGAGCGCGAACGCATTGAGGCGGGAGCTCAGCCAGTAGTCTGCGGTGGTCAGCTCCTCGCTGGCCAAGGATCCCGTCATGCAGGAGACCTCGGACTTGGGATCCGGGCGATTGGCTGAGTTTGGCGCTTTGGGTGGGGTTTGCCTCCAAGTGATGTCAACAGGAGGGGCTCACATCCCCAAACCACCCATCCCACCCTCTGCCTCAGACAAAGGCCGCAGCTACACCGCAGAACCACAAAGTCCAAAAATCGGGAACTGAGGACTGATCAAACTCTCGGTTTCCTGTTGGTTTCCCTTCATCCAAAAGTAGGTTCCCGTTCTTTTGGGATGTTCCGGCTCCTGAAGGCTGAATAATACAAGCACTCTGAAACAAGCAGACAATCGTACGAAACTCGCCCCCAAATAGACCATGATTTGAGCGAAGGAACCGCGGTGGCAATCTCCGGCGTCTCCGTTTAATTAAGTGGTAACCCCCTCTTGGTCGGCCAAGTGCGTCTATATGAAGGCCAGGTCTCAAAATAGAACCCCCCAAATTTGTACTTTGCCTCTGAGTTTCTCTTTTCGAGGACTAGGGCACGGGCGAACTGAACCTTCGGCAGCCCAAAGGTACATGCCTGGCAGGCCAGGCTGAGATCTGCTGGCGAGAAGAAATTCGATGAGGAAACGGCAGTTTCGCTGGAGCCCCGAAACGCGCCCTCCTGCATTCTGCAACCAAGAAATGGAGCCGAGGTATTTTGTCCTTCAGAATTCTTCGACCAGTTGGGGGGGAAATAACACCATAACAAATATCCGAAACTCACCCAACAGCCAAACACGGGCTCGATGTCAAGGATGGGAATGGGAAAAGGTTGAAGGACACATGCGCTTTGGTTTGGGCTCCAATCGAAAAAGCTTGCCTCACATTGGTCTGCATAAGCAGTTGCAAACCTCAAACCCTTGTTTTCGAGGAGACCTCATCAGGTGAAGCAAAAGAGATGTCTTGGCAAAAGGGATGGAGGAAACTCCCAAGGCAATATGCATCACTCAAGGAGGTGCTTCCTTTGCGGTGAGTAGAAGAAACTCCGCTCAGCCGGAAATTTCTAACAAGAACCCCCGCGCTTTTTGGGGGGGGCTGCTCCGCAGTAGATATTCCTGCTGTATCTGTTCCGTCTGAAAAATATCGGCGGAAACAAGTCCGCCATGCTCGCGGAATCTCGCGAGGCCATGTATAACGCTTGAGGCTCCAGAGTCCCTCCCCATGGACAAATGTTCAATGTTCCCCAAGAGGACACGGGAAGCTTGGATTGCCCCCTTGCTTTTGGTGGATTTTGAGCGTGCTTCCCAAACCAGAAGCAAACTTGATGCGCTTAACAACTCATTCCTGGACCAACCACGTATGCAGAAAAAACGCCTTCGAGAGAACATGCACAAACAAATGGCATTGTTCTTCAAAAGCGCCTTCGTGTTCAAAAAAAGCTTTCGCAGCGCAATGCCACACTGACGCATTGCCTGGTCTGTCTGCCTTCTCGAAGCCTGTACGTGAGAACCTTTGATTTGGATCTGCTCATTTGGACATCCATTTCTTCGACATTGGCCGTTCCTGCATGCAGGTTGTTTTCCACCAGAGAGCCGTCTGAATCCCCTCATGGCCAGCACTGTCAGTTCGAGGGGCCGATTTGGAATGAGAAATATGGCGCGAATGTCAGCCAAAACCAGTTTTGCAGCTTGCTGTTGTTTGTTCCGGCAATTTCGCCTTTGTTCCGGCAATTTCCGCCTTTGTTTTGGCAGTGGCTGCTTTTGTTTTCGTGTGCAATTTCACGAGCCGCTGGCCAATTGCGTTTCTGGAATAAAGAGTGCTGCTGATGCGCTGAACCCGCACGCGATTCGTTGAGGAAAGTGGTATTTTCCAAAAAGCTGCTAAAGAAAATGCTCTGCCCATCTTTGTAGACGGAAGCATGCGCGCAATCCAACATGTCAAGCACGGAAGCACGAGCCCCGGCGAGGGCTGAGCCCAAATTGGGGTAAGCCCCTCCATATTTCAGAAAAACGCCCTCGATCTAAAAAATAAGCGCCCAGTCCAAATTTAAAGAAATTTCTGAAAAGGCAAAAAACAAAAATCCCCCTTAAGACACTGCAGGTTTGTTTGTACACAAAAGTGCCCTCCACCAAAAACTCTGCCATACAGTTACACAATCGCTATCCCCAAGTACTGTACCCCAACAGCGAACCCTAAGGGAACATTCAAGCCAAAGTTCGGATGTGCTGGGATGTGGAGGTGCGGCAAAGGCAACGAGAAAGAAAACCCCCAGCACATGGTTGGTTGTGTCTGTTCCTATGAAGTATGGTATTGGATATATGCCTCATTGTCACTTGCACCCTTAGCTGGATGCTCACAATTTTAATGGCGCCACCAATGCTGCCCAAGCAACTGGGGCTTCACGCAGGGGATCCACGCCCCCGTTTCCGCCCAGACTCGCCGCCTTGATCTCCTCCCGCACGCCTCGCATAGCATCGATTTCGTTGGCTTGAGCTCAATGCTCAAATTGGGGTCCCTCGAAAACCGGGTCCCCTCTTTGGTTTTCAAAGAAGCCAAAAGGAAACAAAGAACCAGTTGCGTCTGTGTGTGTGTGTGTGTGTGTGTTTAGTTTGACGGTACTCTTTTCGGGTTGGTTTCCAGTTTCTCCAACAACACCTCCCAGGGGCCACTATTTGCGTACAGGGCAAAGATGTCATCAGAACGTTGATCCTGCAGCCGCATCCAACTCTCGCCCGCCTGCCACGACTTCTGGCAGCATTGAGTGCATGGCAAAGCGCCTCACAAGTCTCCAAAGGTCTGTTCAGAGCCCAGCTACAGGTACAGGCTTATTGGGGAGTCCGGTGAGGTCTGCTAGACAACCCGCAAAGCCAGGTTTGGGGATGGTCCGAACCCAAACCTTTTGCGTTTTGGCGGGCTGTGTTTTGGGGACATCTTTCATGTTTGGGCTCCCAAACTAGGCGGCCCACTCAACAGTGATATGCAATACTAGACGTCATACTGCAACGCACAAGCGACTTGCGCCTTAGCAAATTGAAAGGAGCTTGCCCTTTGGTTGCTTGGGTATTCACCGGCATGTTGGGCTGAAAAAGGCGCGGCGCCCGCACCGCGGGCTTTTGGTTCTCCTTCCGGAGTCCGGAGTGAGTCGCATTGCGCTACCCAAAGAGCTCAAAGCGCCATGGCCGAAGGCTGGGTCCCCGACATTTCCTTTTTGCTCATGCCGGGAATGGATGGATTTCTCAGCAAGATGCTTGAAACTGTCCGAAGGAATCCTCACCCCAGAACTCGCACTTACATGGCTAAAGCTGGATGCTAAAACCATCCAAGGAAATGTAAGGGCCCCCGTGCTTCGGAACACCCAGTTCAAGTCGCGAGGACTCGGTTCCATACCAGCCAGCCCCCCCTCGGGAAACAGAAGCTGCACATAGACAATCCGTGTACGCAAGTCCCGAGGGGTTGCGGCATCGGAGCATTGGCCGTGGTGGCTCTGGAACGTGATGGCTAGGACCATCGCGAGCCGTGGAACACGGGCCCTGCGGATCACAGAAGGGCCCTCATGAGTGACAGATTCACCCATGAACTGCACCCAAGTGAGACCCATTGAAGTGGCCGCCTAATCGCAAGTGCCAACAAAACAAAACAAAAATGGCCCGCCTGAGCGGGGAACGGAGTCCCGAAAAAAATGAAGACAAAACAAGTTTATGTGCGAGCTAAATGCCCATCAACGCATTTGTTCTAACCGATGGCATATATGGCACTTGCCAGGGTACACATCTCCCCTTTGGAGGTCACTTTGGCGCGGGAATGCTCGTTCGCAATGACAATCACTTGGTCGCCTAGTTCTGCAACCAGGTGAAACAATGGGAACCGTTGGCAGCGAGTCAAGCAAGGGGCCTGGAAACCCAGAGACAGGCCCTGAAAGAGATAATTAACGCCGCATAAGAACAAACTCCCAAACTTGTTGGCACCAGAAGTTCAGTCACCAAATCAAAAGGTGCCAATCCAACGCCCAAACATGGGTATGTGTCAAAATGGGACCCTCCCGAATAGCTTACCTTGAAAAAGAAACCCCGAAAAGTGGGTCGCACATTTTGACACATTCCCACGTTGCCGTGCGTGCATCTTGAAACGCTGCTATCTAAGCCCGGCAAAGCTCCACTCGGACAGTGGTGACTGCTCGGGCGTGAAATGTGCTCGGGTGTTGAGACTCCGTGAACGAGACGTGTTTGCTTTTTGGGCTAAGGTGAGCGAATTTTGACACTGGCAAGGAACCGGAGCCTCCGAGCTAGCGAATTAGTTGCAGTGGAACGGTGCTTGCTTCACGATGGGTACCTGCAGTTGCGCTTTAAGCGCTGGTGTGTTAACTCAACGTGGCGTTCGACATGGACGCAATGGTAGCTGGAATGCTCGGCCTTTGGTCAGGTTGTTTGATGGGCACAAGCCAACCCTCAATTGTGCGGAGGACAAACAAATCGCCTTCCTGGTCACCAGCGCCAATCCGCAAGTCTTGCAACCCTTTGCTCTTGCACAGGAGAACAGCACGATAAGTTCCAAGGCGAGTCAAGAACTGGCTCCATTAACCTCTTGCAAGTAGCCTTGGGATCCTTGAGCGGCCATGAATTCCACAGGCACTTTATTTTGTTTGGTTCCATCAACTGTACACCAACATGATGTACGCGAGGATTCACAACGGGTCAACAGGGTTTCGCAGGAGATGCGGTCAACATAGCTCTTGTCCGAGCCACATTGTGCAGGCACATCTCAGGCTGCCTCTGGAACCCTGCCATGCTTCAAAAATCCGCAATCCTCCAGTTTTGGTCAGTGCAAGCACACGCAGAAGAATCACACACAGGCCTAAAAATGCCCAGAAATCATCTACACGCTTCCTAGATATATGGAGCCCTGGTCGTCTCATAAGCGCCAAAGACCCAGCAAAAATGATGCCACCTGGGGCCATTGGCCCTGCAGTGTAAAGCCTGAGGGTGTTTCCCATGCAGCATTCATAGCCACAGAGGTCCTACCTTCACGTGGCCCAACTCTGCGGTACACCGAGCATATGATGCTCAAGCTATTAGTCGTATTTAGTCAACCGCGAAAGTATATCATATTTCTGGAGGATACCCTAGCAGGGTGAAACCTATGGGTGAAACCTACAATCGTGACTACTTTAATACTTTTCAGGGCAATCCCGTTGGTATCACAGAACCAGGTATCTCCTAAAACCCACAAACCATAGTGAAACCTGACCAGGCGACCATGGTTCTCACCTACAAGGGTGAAACGACATCTGAACCAGAAGAAGCCGTGAAGGGGGTAGCACCCGCGACACCAACAGCCACGACCTCTGAAAAACAAATGGATGTTGTAGGGGTACCTTCCCCATTCTTTTCAGGGATCCTTTTGTCTACAAAAACCGCCGGAAACCCAGGAAAGTAGCTGGTTTTTGCAAAGAACGGTGGTTGAAAAGAATGGAGAATCAACCCCTAGAGATCTCGCTACCCGTGCCGGCCTTCACCGCCCTGTGACCCCTGCGACACACCCGGGCCACCCCGGTCGACCCGCGCATCCGCCTTGGTGGTGATCTCCAGGACCGCGAAGGCCAGCGCCGCCAGCATGGCCAGGCGCCCGTGCTTCAGCTCCGCCTCCGAGGTCCAGTGCCGGCCCACCGGGAGCCAGCGGGCCATGGGCAGCTCGAAGTCCTCAAGCCATTGGACGTCCATGGCAAAAGCATGGCCGCAAGGAAAAACCCTAGAAAGACCCGAAAGCAAACATCAGCCCAAAAGGACATGCACTTGAAAAGGCCCAAACAGGTGATGGTGGAATCTGCCGATATATATAAATATATATATAATATATATATATATATTAATATGGAGACCCCTGTTCAATCAAAGTACTGATCCCCATTGTTGAGGGTACCTGTCTGGAAAAGGGGGCCTATGACTACTTTCTCACTTCAAAGAAGTCTGGAACAGTAAGGATAACGCGTCTTTCCACACCCAAACCAATTCTTTGGCCTCCATTCTTCCTTTTGGAATGCACAGCTTGGAGGTTCACAAGAAACGGGTCCCCTTGTGGAAAAATCAGTTTTTCAAATAGTTTGGTATCTCACATAAATAGTTGTTCCCCAACAAGGGACAAGCCAGGAAATCAAAGGGGAACCACTTTGAGCGCTCGAGGGCTAAGTATATAATTATAATGTTGCTCCTATCATGACTCAAACTGGCGGTAGATTGCCCCACAACCCACTCCAGCTATTTTGGCCCTCACTGTAGCTGGGTTGTTCCAAATGGGGCATTCCTAGTCCTACGTAGTCCGCAATCCCCCGCGATGTGACGCAACTACAAGAAGGGATACCAATGCCATTCGGTATTTGCAAAATATAAGGGTTGATGTTGCACACCCAATATACATTGTCTGGACGTATTAGGTAAGCCAGGCAGCTAGATCGGAGTCTTCAAACTCCGGTTTTGTGCTTTTGACCAGTCATGTGGTGAACCTCAATATGTAGAACAGGTTTTTGTGTTCTCTCTAAAAGAAAAACCGTCAAACAAGAACTACAGTGAAATCAACAAACCAACTCAGTGATTGGTGAATCCCCAAATGATGTCCACCAAAGGGCCCTTGTTGATATATTCTAGGTCCTCCAGCAGGGAGGATAGAATAAGGGTACCCTTTTTTTCTGTAGTCTATTTTAGTAGGGGAACCCTCCCCCAAAAAATAAACGGTAAAAGGGCACTGCTGGGGGACCTAGTATTCATACCCATTTCAACACCAGAAATCCGGTTCAGCAAATCCAGGACTGTCCTTCAAATTCAGGGGGTCGAAGCCGTAGAAGCCCGGCGGGGACTCCGGCGTCTTGGAGAGCTCCGTCATGGCCAGGCCCATCGAGGCCACGCCCAGAACCCAGCCCAATGGGCTCTCCAAGGAGCCTGGATACCACCCGAAGCCGAGTAACACCCCCATGGGTCTCCGGTGTCGCAAGCAAACACCGTGAAGTGTGGGACTTTTCACCATGAGGACTGCATGTTTGTTGGGGTTCTGCAGTTCCCTTTAATACCAAAAAGGTTCCAAAAGAAGAGCGGTTTGCTTCCCGACTTTTCGGAGTTTTGGGTGTTCTGGAGAGAAGGATCCCTGGAAAGAATGGGGAAGTTACCCCCAGAACCACAGGGAGCCTGGCCATTCAAAAGACCCAGTCCAACATAAACCAAAAGGCAAATCCAAACCGGAAGAAACGGGAGCGTGGCCAAACTGGCCCAACCCGGAGTTGAAGAACCAGTTGGAAATGTTGGCATTTTGGAGAAGGTTCAAGAAGCATTCCCCAACAAATTCTACTAGTAGATCATTAAGACAGGAGTGTGCGCATTGACTTTAACGGACGCTGTTGCAATCCTTTGAATCCTTTGAACAAGAAGCGGGGCATAGTCATGGATGGAAAGAGGGGGTTCAAAGGAATGTGGCGGGACATAAAGCCCAAGAAACCTAAACATGAACAATGGGTCATCCTTGGGGCAACGTTCTTGACATTGGAAAACACAACACGCACAAACCGTGCACGACTTGCATACACAATGCAAACATGCCAAAGGTCACAGTTGGTCACAGTCAAAACCTGGCACTAAAAGTCATCTACCCGGCTGCCTATCGCAAAGGGAGTGTTTCTAGCCCAAACATCTGCATTTTTTCTGAATAACTCCAGAAGCTGAATTTCGGGATCCCCAAGTTTCGGACCTTTCTCCGGTCAAAACCCCCCGAATCGGTGAGCTCGCTATTTAACAGT